CTGGGCCCAGGAAAAGATCTTGGAGAGCAGTGATGTGACCCAGGCTGCTGGGAAAGGCCCTGGCATCTCTCGTCTAAGGTCCAGGTGTGCAGGGCTACTGTCCGCCACCCCTCCTCGCCACCAGCAGCACTCAGGGTCCCTCCTCAGTGCACCCACACTCGAAGCCTGTGTCTGTCCTGAAGCGCTCCCAGAGACCCCAGTGCCTGGAACAGACCCCAAAGCAGAGGCCCTGAGCATCCCAAGATCTTCGGCAGGTAAATTGCAGCGCGGGCCAGATCCCCTTAAGCGCCAGGCTTGTCCCAGTGCCTGTTTTCACACTCATTCACTGAAAATAGTTTCTACATTTATATTCTAAAGATAATAAAAACTTCCTCAACAAAGCTCTGAAAATTCCCTGGAATGTGTGAGGGCCAAGGACGGACAGCCTGTCCGCCCACAGATGTCCCTGGCTTGCTTCTGCAGGAGCGTCTGATGTAGGCAGGTGACACGTGGGGTCTGAGAGGTCTCTGCTTGACCCTGACGGGCCCGGCCATGTGTCAGCAATTAACTCGGGGCCCTGCTGAAGGGGACAGAGGGCAGTTGGTGAGGAAGAAGGTCGTGTGTTTCTGTCATTTGCCTGAAGGTTTACTTACCTGGGTTTCCGTAATTCATTCTGTTCTGATTTTTCTAAAGTCTCAGTGGTCACCTTATTAGCTTGGATTTTGTACGACCTGCATTTGCTGGGCGGATCTTCGGTAAGTGTTCAGGCTCTCTGTCATGTTTTTTGGGGTTCATAAAGGTCATCATGCTGAGAGATGAGGGGCTTGCTTGGCTTTTGGAACTTTTTGATTTGTGGAGTTTGAAGTGTAAACCAACATCTACCAAAGCCACAGCGTAGACCAGTACACTCAAGGATGTGCCAACGCCACAGGGCGGCCCGGCCCGCGGGCAGGACACTGAGGGGAGGCGCGAGAGCTTCTGACACCCGAGCTGTGACCCGAGGCCAGCCGGTCAGTTCTCTCATCTCAGGAGCCCCTTCCAGTCTACCAGCCTGGAATTCTCTCGTCGTGTTTTCTAAACATGGACGAGATCGTACTGGGGCTCGGTGAGGTGACACTGCATCGGTGCACGAACGCTGAGAGCGAAGGAAAAGAGGCCTAGTGTGCGTGACGGGCGAGGTGCTTTCGTGCGCGTGCAGCTCCTTGCCCGCGCCCACCGCCTGGCGCTTTCCATACTTTTGGAAAAGGAAATGCGTCCTGTAGCAGGGAGGAAGAGGCCGGGCGGACAGGAAGGCTGCCAGGTCCCAGCCAGAGCTCAGTTCCTCTGCTCAGAGTTAGGGACTGGATCAAGGTGCATTTCCAGGACCAAACGAGGTCACCAGCTTCTAGCACAGTCACTGTCCTGTCCCCCCCCCCCCAAGCCCTGGCGGCATCATTCTGGAGTAGATTGATTTATTATGGGCCCATGGCTCTTAGGTGTCAGATAATTGTAACAGAAAGTTGCTATCCCTACAACAGGCCAAGTTGGACAGAAATAACTTGGTGTGGGACGGGGGCGATACAAACCAAGTGATTGGGAAGTGTGGAAGACTGTCCACGGTGCCTCCGCAGTGAGGTGGTCGGGGGGGGGGGTGTCGCACTGGACGCACCCTGCAGTGAGGTGGTCGGGGGGGGGCTGCACTGGATGCACCCTGCAGTGAGGTGGTCGGGGGGGCCGCACTGGACGCACCCTGCAGTGAGGTGGTCGGGGGGGGCCGCACTGGATGCACCCTGCAGTGAGGTGGTCGGGGGGCCGCACTGGATGCACCCTGCAGTGAGGTGGTCGGGGGGGGCCGCACTGGATGCACCCTGCAGTGAGGTGGTCGGGGGGCCGCACTGGACGCACCCTGCAGTGAGGTGGTCGGGGGGGGGCTGCACTGGATGCACCCTGCAGTGAGGTGGTCGGGGGGGCCGCACTGGATGTACCCTGCAGTGAGGTGGTCGGGGGGGCCGCACTGGATGCACCCTGCAGGCAGTGTTGCTTTGCGCCCGGAGAGCCCCATGGGAGCTCTGCCAAGATGCTCGTGCCCACCTGGGAGCCTCCCTGGTTGCCGGGCACTGTGGGCCCATTCTGGGATAACCCACTGCGATGTGACTCACGCTGGGAAGATCCACTGTGCATTTAACTCATTTAGTTCTGCCAGCAGCCTGAGATGTAGGCACAGTCGTCCCTCGTGCATTTGCTCCAGACCCTAGCGGTGCACCTGGTGTTGAAGGATTCCTGGGGTGCTCGAATACATAGGCCTACAGTCCATACGTACAGTAATTTTAATTGTAATTGTAATACAGGGGTGTATAATTGACTCAGACAAGCAAGCGCGCGCTGTATCATTTTCACTGTCGTGATCAACTTTTTAATGAATATATTTGAAAAAACCGCGATAGAGTGAAGCCGCAAACGTGGAAGCACGAAGTGGCAGGGACGACTGTGCTCCCCATTTTGCGGAAGGGAGCATGGAGCCTTGGAGAACTTTGGTCACAAACATGGAATTAAACTTAGATCTGTCCAGCCTGAGAACCTGCTCTTAGCCCCACCGCCCCACACAAGCAGTCTCTTTTTGTGGCTGTGCGGGAAGTTTGGCTTTATTTCCTACCTTCCCCCCAACTCCGTCTGTGAGCATCTAATGCATTTCGCTCACTAAGAGCTGGCCCATAGCCAGAAATGCAAATGTCCCCCTCCCGCCTCAGCAGTTTGCACTTGAATCTGTTTTTCAGTCATAGTGTTTGAAACATGAAGCTTTAGAAATGAAATGCAGCCACTGTATTGACCTCATCAGGGACATGGCCCCTGAGAAGGAAAAGCCACCAAGGTTTAGCCTGTGTGGGAGAAGTTTGCTCTTTTCCAGACAGTGACTGGAGTCGTGATGTGAGTAATACCAGAGCCACGCAGTGTGAGCTGTCAGAGATGGAAGTGACCCTGATGAGGGCAGCAGGGCCAGGACCCTGAAACCTGGAGAGAGGTGGGACTGTGTCCCAGGCAAGGTCAGGACCTGCCTGGGGCCGGAGGGCTCCCCCAAGCCCCCACCCTGTCCTCAGACCACCAAGGAAAACAGTCCACAGAGATGGCTCAGGGTCACATTTGTAAGGGTCTCCCACTGTGATTTTCTTTGTCCTATTCTTAAAAAGAAGGCTGAGCTAAGGGAAGAACCCACTATAATACACTTTGTTGAATTTTATAACTTTTTAGTCTTTCTCCTAAAGCCAAGGCATGGAACAGTCATGGAGAAGAAAATTGCAGAGTCTCTCTCTCTCTCGCAGTCTTTCTCAGTTTCTGTTAAAGATTTGTTTCATGGTTGGAGTGTTGGGTGTTTTTTTTGTTTGTTTGTGTGTGTGTGTGTGTGTGTGTGTGTGTGTGTGTGTGTTTTATTTGTTTCTCTCTCTCTCTGCATGAAGTTGTGAAAAAGTGAATCAAAGTTTGTAGTTGGTTTCTTTGGACTAATTAAGGAAGAAAAAGGTCCTTCCCCAGAATGGCCATTGTGTGATTGGGTTTATAACGGCTCCTTTTGCTTTTCCTTTGAAACCTTTGCCTAAGTGTTCCTGGGTGTGGCCTGGGGACTCCCACCCAGGCAGGCTGTTCACTGGGTGCTCACAAAAGGGAAGGGACCTTCTCTGTGGCCTCGGGAAATGTTTCTCAGCCCTCTTGGGCCTTTGGGTCGGGCCCCCTCCGTCCTGGTCACACACACCGTGTCTCGCCAGAGCCGGTCAGCGTGCGCCTGGGCGGGCCGCAGTCTCCAGTGGGCTCCGGCACCACCACCGGTTTTTGTGGACAGAACCGAGACATCCTTGCTAAGAGGACCCATGTGGGCAGAGGCCACAGGGGGAAGGCCTTCTTGCTGACACCATAAGATCTACAAGGACAGTGGCTCCAGTTCAAAATCATGCACCAGGGAAAAGCAGGGCGTGTTGGGTGCTTCTCCCATGTTTCAGTCTCCCATGACCTCTCCTAACGCCAGAACAGAATTAGTCATTATCACTAAGCGTTTCCGGCACGCTGTGCCCAGACCCCTGAGGGAGGTCTGTATTTCCGTATTTCACAGTCCATTGAAATCCACCTGGGGCTTGCCTCTCCCGCTGGTCCTCCAGGTCCTGCCGTGGCCCTCTCTGGGCCCGCACCTCCTTCACCGCCTGGTCTCCGGCACGTGCTCATGATGTTCATGGGGGTGATCAAGTGGATGCAAAGACCCAAGTGCCAGATGGTGGCCCCGGGCGGGTCCCTGGGCCTCCCGACACTAGTGGGTGCATTTCCACCTCCGTTTCTGCTCAGGACCCTGCTGTGGAGGAGTGAGACGTGCCCCGAGACCCCAGCAGCACTGGGACCACGGTCAACTCTGCCCTCAGGTCACTGGGTGGGGGGCACCTCTGCCCACTGTCTGCTTCCCTGTGCTCTGGACGCAGCGTCTCTGGCAAGAGCCTCTATACACCGGCTCCACAAGCTCAGTGGAACTTAGACATCAGCTAAATGAGCTAGAAACGAGTCGAGTTCTTAAATTTTAAAAAGATGTTGTGCTTGGCACCTTTGTGTACTCCTCCGTCCACAGTTCCTCCTCCAATATGTTTGATGAGAATGTGTTTATGAAGCATTGGTCTATTCACAGATTTTCTGGAGTCCACCTGCTGGGGCGAGCACAGGTGTAGCTGCCCCGAGACGCCCTGTGGCCTGGAAACCAGGAGGACCAGCTGGTGCTGAGCGCAGTGACGGGATCAGTTTCGTCCCGAGGCTGCTTTTCTTGGGAAATGTCTGGAGGGACGGAATTTCTTCCTGATGGGGTCTCTGGGCTCTCGGGGCAGGTACAGAAGCAGAGCTGTCCTGTGGCAAAGAGGCCTCACTTCTCAGCGCCTGGTGCTGGTCGCGCCCCCAGGGGCCGTCACTGCCCTCCTCCCAGGCTCCCAGAGGGGCTGCCTGGTGCCGGATCTTGCATCCGGCCCGTCCTGGGCACGCAGCACCTCCAGGGCATCATCTGAGGCATCATCTTCTCCCCACAGCCAGCATGCCGACCAGCGAGACGGAGTCTGTGAACACGGAGAACGTAAGTGGTGAAGGCGAGAACCAAGGCTGCTGGGGAAGTCTCTGGTGAGTGTGGAGGCCGCTTGCCCTCTTGGCTTCTGCCATCATGGTCTTAGAGAACAAATGTGAGGAAGACACCTCAGATTTCTGTGGAGCCGGGGGCCGTAGCCTCGGGCGAAGGGGCGGGTGGCTCAGCCTGGACCCCTCAGTGGTCCTCCTACCCCAGGCCCCTCCCGGGCCTCTTGTCCACAGCAGCTGTCCTGCTGAGCTGCAGCCTGCTGAGGGCTGTGCCAGGTAACCCGTTCCCCTGTGTCCACTAGGTGCTGGTGGAAAAGAAGTGGCGCTGCCAAGGCTGGGCCCTCGGGGTGCCGGCGGTGGGGGTAAAGGCCCGTTCTCCTGTCTGGTGCTGGTGTCAGTGCTTTGACGAAGCGCTTGTATGGCAGAGCGGCTGGCGAGAATGTGCTGATATTTAAGTTCCCCTTGGTGCATGGTTCTCCAGCCTCTGACAGCCCTGTCGCTTCTGCGCACAGCACTTTGTGTTGGGGGCCCTGCACCACCCTCTTCTGACAGAGGAGGGCGCCGCCACATCACCCCTCCCCTCATTGGCTTTTTTTTCTGTCTGGTCCGTGGGCCGATGCTCTAACCACTGAGCCAAACCGGCCAGGGCTTTGGCTTTTTTTTTTTTTCCCTAGAGGATTTGGATGCAGCAGTGGGGGACCAGCAGAGTGAAATGTGCAGAGTACTGCCTGCTTTGGGGGCCCCATGCGGTTTTGTTTTATTTGCCTTCATCTGGTATCTTTTAGGTCTTACCTCTGCAAAATACAGGTGTTTTTAAGAGAATTTGATCTCCTTGGCAGGGGTGCATGAAAAGGATGTGTTATGGGCAAGACTTTAGAGTTTACAAAGTGAATTTAGCTCCTTTCTCTTGCTCTGCCCTCCCTACAACATTGGGAAGTAGGCAGGGAATGGGTTTGTCCTTCCCATTCTACAGATGAGAACATAGAGGCTCAAAAAGGTGTGCTGCTTGCCCAGACTCACACAGGCAGTGAGTAGTGGAGCCAGGGCTCCTAGTCCAGTGCTCCATTTACTGCAGCAGCAGCACATGCTACTACTGAGAGGAGTAGCTGACTTCCGTTTGGGGAACGTGTGTGGGGGAGAGAAGGACCCCTGAGTCACCGCCTGTGCCATGGCTGCTCAGGGCATCTGGCTAAAAGTTTTCTCTCGCCGGGCACGGAAGGGTGCTCAGCCTGGCCTGCCTGGACCGGCAGCACCACACTCCTGCTCTGCAAATACCCCAGCTGTCGGCTGCGGGAACCGGGGTGCTCAGCCAGGCTGCTGTGCATGGCTTTTCTAATATCTCAGCTGCCATGGAGGGGGGGGGGGGGGGCGCTCAAGCCTTCCTCACAGGACTGATACTCTTTTTGTCTTTCTTTCAGTCAAGCCATCTCAAAATCCAAGCTCAGGTTAGTACCTTCTTTGGTTTCTTAAGCGTGTGTACTATTCTGTTACCTTTCACTTCTGACTTTTACATGGAGTGGCCCTGGACTCGCCTTTTGCTCTAAGGGCTGCGGTGTTCACAGAGGAGACCATCTGCCCGGCAAACGGTCAGCACCTGTCTCAGAGAACAGCGTAGTTAGTAGGTGCCGAAGACCTCGCCCCAAATCAAACCAACAGGATGCGACAGGGGACAGTTTCCTGCCACTAATCAACCTTTCATATTCCTCCCTAGAGTCTCTCTCTGGGAGAAACACGTCTGGTCACATTTCAGCTTAAAAGTTTGTCACAGAAGGAAGTTCGAGGTTTTCCGAGATGCTAGTAATCTGGTTCTTGCTCCGGACGCAGGTTACATGATCAGGTGGTAAAACCTCACTGAACTATATTCCTATGATTTGTATCTTCTTCCATATAAATGTTCTTTTTCAACTAAAGACATTTTACCACTATCTATAAATATTAACTTGAACAGAGAATTAAATGTAAAACCTAAAACTGTAAACATTCTGGAAGAAAACATAGGAGAAAATCTTTGTGACCTTTGGTTAGGCAAAGATTTTCTTGGCTACAACACCCAAAGCACTGGCCGTAACAGAAAAAACTGATAAATTAGACTTCATCAAAGTTAAAACTCCTGCTCTTCAATAGAAAATAAAAAGATAAGCTCCAGCCCTGGCCGGTTTGGCTCAGCGGTTAGAGCGTCGACCTGCGGACCGGAGAGACCTGGGTTTGGTTCCCGCTAAGGGCGCGTACCTCGGTTGCAGTTTGTCCCCGGCCCTGGTCGGTCGTGTGGGTGGCAGCCACTCGATGTGTTCCTTTCGCATCGATGTTTCTCTCTCTCTCTCTGTTCCTCTCTCTCCCTCCCACTCTACCTGAACAAAAAATAGAAAAATGTCCTCAGGTGAGGATTAAAAAAAAAAAAGATAAGCTCCAGACTGGAAGAATAAATATTTGCAAAACATATTTGAGAAAAGACCAGTACTCAGTATATGTAAAGAATAATATATAAAGAATAGTGCCGAGCCCAGCCAGTGGGGCTCAGTGGATTGAGTGTCGGTCCATGGACTGAGGGATCCCAGTTCGATTCTTGGTCAGGGCACGTGCCCGGGTTGCGGGCTCGATCCCCAGCAGGGGGTGTGCAGGAGGCAGCTGATTGATGTTTCTCTCTCACATCAATGTTTCCATTTCTTTCTCCCTTCCTTTCTAAAAAAATAAACACATATTTTTAAAAAAGAATAATGTCGATAATAAAAAATAAATAAAAAATGCTCAAAAGATTTTAAGAGGCATGTCCCAAAGAAGAGAGATGGATGGTGAATAAGCACACGAAATGACCATTGGCTATTAGGAAAATGCAAATTAAAATCACAATGAGAGCCGTGGCTGGTTTGGCTCAGTGGTTAGAGCGTCAGCCCACGGACCAAAGAGTCGCGGGTTCAATTCCAGTCAAGGGCACGTACCTCAGTTGGGGTTCATCCCTGGCCCTGGTTGGAGTTGTGCGGGGGACAGCCAGTCGATGTGTTCCTCTTGTGTCGATGTTTCTCTCTCGTGCCCTCCTTCCCACTCTATCTGAAGATAAGTGGAAAATATCCTTGAGTGAGGATTTAAAAAAAAAAATCACAATGAGATACCACTACATATGTCTTAGGGAACTGAAAAGCCTGGTGATACTAAGTTCTGACAAGAATGCAGACCAGTGGGAATTCTCATGCACTCCGACTTGTCAAATGACACAGACATTTTTAAAACAAGTTGGCAGCTTCTTGTGAAGTTAAACATGCATTTATCTTATGTCCCGGTAATCCTACTTCTAAGGTATTTATATAAGAGAAATGAAGAGACAGTTTGCCCCAAACTGTGAATAACTTAAATGTCCATCAAATAGTGACTGGGTAGACAAGGTGTAATTCATCCATATGATGGACAAATGCTCAGCAATAAGAAGGAAAAAACGGGTAGAAGCAACAGCACAGATGGATCTGAAAGTATTTTTGCTAAGTGACAGAAGCCAGGCCCCAGATGCTATATACAGGGTGCGGCGAAAGTAGGTTTACATTTGTTTGTATGGAAAATAATACAGTAATTAATAAATAATAGTAATAGAAGAAGAAACTCTGTTTCACACACTTGGAACTGTAAACTTACATTTGCCTACCCTGTAATGTGGAAGTCGGTGAATAGGGCATTCTGGGTAACGCAGAACAATAGGAGCAAAAAGCTGATCAGTAATTGTCAGGGGCTGGAGTAACCACAGGACCATGGAGGAACTCTGGGTGATGGAGAAATAGTCGATACCTTAATTGTGGTGGTGGTTATAAACACGATACCTAAAAAGAGTAAATTTTATCATCTGAAAATTATATCTCAATAAACTGGACTTTAAACATAAAATGAAAAGCCCTTCCAGGACTCCCTGTTGCCAGAGGGCATGTAAATTCCCTCATAATTTGGCCCACGACTCACCATCCGACCTCATCTTTTGACAGCTCTTTCTTGCTCCCCACTGCTCAGTTTTCAAACATACCACACACGCTGTTTCTTCTCACCTGAGTCCCTTGGTCCTGCAGCCTCCTCTGAGTGGAGTTCTCTTCCCTCTGCGCCTGGCAAACTCCTACTCAGCTGTGCAGAGCCAGCCCAAATCTCAGATTTTCAGAGAAGATGCCCTGACTCTTACAAAGAGCATGTGCAGATCCCTTCTCTTTGCTCCTGTACCTGGTACCTTGGGAATAGCCCTTCGTATGGATTTATAATGTATAACCCGGCATGCTTTACAGGGACAGGGGCCATGGGGCATGCAAGCCCAGTGCCTGGCACAGAGCCTGGGCACTCCACACCCAGTGAGGGGCAAGTTGGGGAGCACTGCTGGATTTCGGGGATGTGATGATAAGGTCCCCTGGATTTGGGAGATACCTATGACTTGTCCCTGCAGCATGGACACACCAGGGCTGGGTCCTATTCAGATGAGTGCACACTTTGCCTGTGTGTGCTGAGTTAGCATCGCCGGAGGAATCCAGGCTGGAGGGGACAGTCTTTGGTGTCTTCTGTAGAAATTTTCTTTGCTAGTCATCATGTTTCCAGCTGCTGTTACCATGGGAAACCACACAGAAAGAGCAATAACAAAACACACCGTGTTTGTTCCCAGTCTTACTGAAGAGTTAGCACAGCTCCCTCTTCCTCGTCACCGGGCTCCAGTGTGGTCACAGCAGCCAGCTGAGTCAGCCACAGCTGCAGCCTGGACACAGCCTGGAGGGGCCTCTGACTCAGGCCCCGCGCAGCCCCCTCCACGAAACCGGTCTGTGACAGGGAGTGTTCTCCAGAGGGAGACAGGGTGGTGGAGAAAATACTTCCCCTAATTACAAACCAGAACTGAAAGTCAGTAAAGGACGTGCTACTTGTCTGTTTGGCTCAGCTCATTTTATTTGCATGAAAACACGATTCAATACTAGCTCTTCTCAAGGTATATTTTGAGCATCCCTTGTTAGATAGGGCACCTGGTGACTCAGTGTGAGGACTCATATCCTGCTCAGCTCACAGTTCTGAGAGGCTCCGGAGAACTCTCCCAGGTCGAAGAGGGACTGAAAGTTTCCCGAAACGGAAAACAGTAGTTGGGGAGCCTTCCATTGCCTGATGGGTTCTGCACGGTGATTGAGACGCTGAGAGATGTGGTGATAAGCGGCGCTCTGCACCGGCAGACCCGCCGTACGGGGCACGGGAACTGCGTGTGCAGGCCGCTCGGTTTCTATCTGCACACGCATCTGTGACTATCTAGATCCTCTGACTGGCTTGAGGACTGTGCTGACAGCTCTGGGAGTTATCTGAAGCCATAGGAAGGAAACTGATAGCCTGATCAAATCAAGATATAATACTTGAAAAAGTTGTAATTTAAGATCAACAGAATTCATCTATGTGGTCTGCTCATTTCTGTGCTATTTGTTCTCACCTTTCCTTCCTGCACCCCACCCCTGTCCGGACCTCCAGCATGGGAGACAGATGCTCTTCCCGTGATGTTGACTGGACACGCAGGTGCTGACCTGCCGCTCAGGGAGTAATGTCCGCTTCTCTTGCAGCCGCCGCTGGCGCCGCTGGAACCGATTCAGTCGCAGGAGATGCAGGGCTGCCGTGAAGTCGGTCACGTTCTACTGGCTGGTTATTGTCCTGGTGTTTCTCAACACCTTAACCATTTCCTCCGAGCACTACAACCAGCCTGACTGGTTGACGCAGATTCAAGGTACAAGCAGAGCCATTCTCTGTCTGTTCCGAGTGAGGGACTGTGAGGCTGTCCATGGCACTGTAGCCCTACCTGCCCGATGGGGATAGGCAGGGACATGTCTGGTGTGCGCACCGTGGACGACAGGAGAACCACCCCACACGGTGCGCCTGCGTGCAGGTGCGGGCTGCGTGTGGGGAATGAAGCGGCCTGAAGCTTCCTCTTACTGTCTTCTGCCTGTGACAACCCAGGATCAAGGAATCTCCCAGTCGGAAGGGACCTCCATCCCTTCTCCCCGCCCCCACTAAAAGGAAGCTTTTTTTCCCTTATAACATTCTTGGCAAGAACGTTCCCCTGCCTCGAATGTGGTGTGGGGATCGGCCCCAGAGACAGCCCATTCTGAGTGTGACAGTTTGGGGCCCTCAGGAAGTCCTGTCTTACATCAAGTCACATCTGTTTCTGTCCAACTCTCCAGCCTGCGGGAGGTGTTTTCTGATGTTAGGAATGACCTTGATAGGCAACTGCTTCCTATATCACGGTACTGCACGCGAGACCAGACAGAGCTTTTGTGGCAGATGGAAACAGGACATGAGATATGATAGGCTAAATGGAGAATCACAGGAAGCATCAGAGATTATGGGGTGCACTGCTGCTCCCCATTTTATAGTCAGTGCAACTGAGGCCCAGATAGACCAAGCAGCCGCCCTGGAGTCGCATGTCTAGGGAGTAGCAGCAGCAGGACCAGAACCTGGCAGACAGGAGACCGTCAATGCTAGTGCCAGGTCTGTGCAGTGGAGGTGGTAGCAGAGAGGAGGGCAGGGGAGCTGGGGCATTGACGGCAGGAAGTGGGGAGAAGGGAGGAGAGGAGTCTGAGCAACCCCATGAGGAGAGCCCGAGAACACGTGCCCCTTTCTCTCTCCAGATATTGCCAACAAAGTCCTCCTGGCTCTGTTCACCTGCGAGATGCTGGTGAAGATGTACAGCTTGGGGCTCCAGGCCTATTTCGTCTCGCTCTTCAATCGGTTTGATTGCTTCGTGGTGTGCGGTGGGATTACGGAAACGATCCTGGTGGAACTGGAAATCATGTCTCCCCTGGGGATCTCTGTGTTTCGCTGTGTGCGCCTCTTACGGATTTTCAAAGTGACCAGGTAAGGACATGCGTATCTCGCTGCAGGTGTTTTCTGACGACGAGGTGGCCGAGGAACCACATCCCCGGTCAGGTGACATTGTGCGTTCTGGGCTCACACCCTCATCTTGACTTGTAGGCACTGGACATCCCTGAGCAACTTGGTGGCCTCCTTGTTAAACTCCATGAAGTCCATCGCTTCGCTGCTGCTTCTGCTGTTCCTCTTCATCATCATCTTCTCCTTGCTTGGGATGCAGCTGTTCGGAGGCAAGTTTAATTTCGATGAGACGCAGACCAAGCGGAGCACCTTTGACAATTTCCCTCAAGCACTTCTCACAGTGTTCCAGGTGAGCCCGCCTGCCTCTCCCCGAGAAGCCCGTTACGAGGTGCCTCCTTGTCTGTCCACACGCAGGAAGACGAAAGGGTTCCGTTTTCATTAGTAACTTCTGCCCCAATCATGCTGATACATTTTGTGCCGTCTCTTGTTTAAGCCGCCTCTCTTGCATCTTGATCCACCTGTCTGTGTGATGTGCGCTAATGTTTCCTCAAGACCACTGGCCCTGGGCTTTTCTGTGACAGAGGCTCTTGCATCCTTTTCTGGTTCTGTGCTCATTTTCAGTCACGGGTGAGTTTTGTAATCCTGGCGATAACAGATGTATGCAAAGAAGTGAATTCTAGAGCCCTAATGCTTCGGTGTAGTCAGAGGAATCACGGCGATAAAAGCCTTCTGCCCCTTTTCCTGTCCTCCCTCCTGTGACGTAATGAGGACACCCAGCCTTGAGGGTGTCTGTGCTGTTGGGGCTCAGCAATGGGACCGGGGAGCAAGCGGCAGTGTGAGACAGCAGCGGCCTCGCCCCCCTCCTGGCTCTGAGCTGAGCTGTCCCAAGGGCCGCTTCATCCTCCTGGTAGATCATTTAAAGACCCCTCTGCCCTTGCGGTGTCTCACGTGCCACGTCAGGGAGCTTCGGGCCCCGATGGAGAGGCAGCAGGGCTGGGGGCAGGGCAGTGGGCATCCAGGACTCCTGGGCTCTCTCAGTGCTCAGCTCTGTGACCCTGGAAAGTCATTGTCCTTCTCTGAAAAGAAAAAAACGACAGACTAGAAGGAATGATTTCTAAGATTCTTTCCCACTTGGCCAGTTGTAGGTGAATGGGATTTTTGTCCCTGGTATAGGCTGTGACAGAATTACACTTCGTTTTTGAAAATTTTTTGAATTATACTTAATTTTGCGCCACTGATTATTCTTTTTTTTCTTTCAGAGAAACCCGTGTACTGGTTGTTTGTTATACATGTCTATGGCGCAAAATTGAAACATTACAAAAGGATATCAAGTAGCAATCAGATCCCCCACCCACCAATCCTCCTCCTAGGAGACACCACCATTAAATAGCTTCTTGTGTGTTCTTTGTACTCAGACATAAGTCCGTTCACCTACCCACCTGCCTGCGGATGATTTACACAGATGGCAGCTCATTCTGCATGCCATGTCCATCTTGCTTTTCATCACTTTCAGTGTCCTTAAGAACCTTCCTTATTGGGCCATAAAAGGTTGCCACCTCCTTTTCCACGCTGCATAAATTCTCTGGTATGGACGGGCCGTCACTCACGGAGCGCTCCCTGCTGATGAATGTTTTGTTGTGTCCAGTCTTGCCTCAGTGGGTGACCTTGTACACGCACCATGGGGCACATGTGTGAGGGTAGATCTGTGGGATGAATTCCCGAAGTCTGCTGTTTTAAAGGGGCGCGGTGTCCGTCTTCAACGGGGATGCTCTCGCCCACCTGTTCTCCTTGAGGGTATGTTCATTCATCCTCCATGGCCTCTTCTGCGCCACAGTGGGCGCTCAAGCTTCCTGGCGGCGGCCTGTCGAGTGGTGGAAATGGTCTCTTGTAGTTTCAATGCACTGTTCCCGTATCAGGAGGGAACCTGAATGTCTTTTCATGGGACTGCCAGCCGTGTGTAGTTCCTGTTCTGTGAATTGCTTTATCCTTTCAAGTCATTTGCCCGTGTTTCCTGTGTGGTGGTGACCCATAGTGGCTTTAATTTTTAAAGTATCTGGTCTAGATAGACGATCAAGGAACACAGTCTCTCCCCTCTCTTGCTGTCTCTTTTTCGGGAAGATAGCGTATGTTTAAATTGCGGTTCATGTTCATCTGATTTTGTTTCGTGATGGACTGAATTATCTAGTATCATGAGAAGAGACTATATTTGAAATTCAGTTTGTTATGTGTATCTACTCATCAGGTCATTTGTAAATGTACGTAAGAGACTTAGAGAATTCCCTGCTTATAAAAATTCATAGATAGAATTCTCCATTTCCACAGTTGGTTAACTGTATGGAATACTAGGCAGCAGGTAAAAAGAATGAAATGAGCCCTGGCCAGGTGGCTCAGTTGGTTGGAACACTGTCCCATGCACCCAAAAGGTTGTGGGTTCAATTCCCAGTCAAGGCACATACCTAGGTTGCAGGTTCGATCCATGGTTGGGAGGCAGCCTATTGATGTTTCTCTCTCACATTTATGTTTCTCTCTCCCTCTTCCCCTTCTTCGCTCTCTAAAATCAGTAAAACATGTCCTCCGATGAGGATTTAAAAAAATTTTTTTTTCATGAATGAAATGAAGCTATTGACAGAGAGCTCCAGAGTATATTGTCGAGGGCGGGGGGGGGGGGGGAGCAAATTGCAGAAAATTCATGTAGTGTGATACCTTTTATGTCTAATAAATCAGAGAAGACACCAACTGCCTGTTTCTTCTGAGTGTGCATATATGTGTTTAAAGCCACAGATAAGGGTCCTGGAGAGACACCCTAAACTCATGTTTTCTGGGGAGGGACTAAGAACTGGGCCGGGGCATCATCTGGGAGTCCCTAAGGCCTACAAGTAATGTTATTTTCACTAGAACGACTAACTCATCTATTTCTGTAATTAAAAATAATGTTTGAAAACTCTGTGGGGTAACAGATGGGTTTGTTCAGTGCAGACCAGACTGTGAGAGGCAGCTTACACCAGATTTAGGGGCCCTGGGAGACCCTGGGAGTGGGGGCCTGCCCGCCTGCTGATCCAGGTTTTGGCTTCTCAGATCCTGACAGGTGAAGACTGGAACGCTGTGATGTACGATGGCATCATGGCGTACGGGGGCCCGTCGTCCTCGGGGATGATCGTCTGCATCTACTTCATCATCCTCTTCATTTGTGGGAATTGTATCCTTCCAGTTGACCAGCGCTGTGCTGTTGCCCCTCTTATTTGGTCCCCACCACCCCCCATCAAGGTGGTGGTAGCCATTGTGACAGGGAGGTAAATGCCCTGACCTTGTTTTATGTTCTCTCCTTCACGCTGCTGGGTCAGTATGGCGGAGGCAGAGTCCTGGAGGCATTGAGGAATGAGCACAGGCTTGGGGGAAGGGGCCTGAGGCAGTGCATGGGCTGCGCCCGTGGTCACCCCACTTGGTGTCACGTTTCCTGTGCAGGTCCCACGGGATAGCTTAGGGCACAGCTAGGTGGCTCTCCATGCCCTCATCCTGGGGAGGCTGGGAAATAGATGTGTCTTCTTAAGACTCTTCCTAACTGACAGGGATCCATCTTCAGCGGGTTGACCTAAGCTCCCCTGAACCTAGTTTCGCTTTGCTGATCTGGACATCTTTGGAAGTCAGATACCTTTGGCTTGTTGCTGTATGGTGCTGTGCCCTTTTCTCCCGCTTGGAACCCTTTTCCCTGCCAAGAGGGACTCTCTAGTCCTAGACTTCGGAAAGCTCAGATCTCTCTTTACCTCAGCTGGCACCTTCATGACCCCGTAACCTTTGCTTGTGTCTGCTGTCTCTCTCCATCCTCCCTGCCTAGCCCAAGACCTGCATCCGGAGCCCCTCGTACATGTTTGGTGGAGGAACTATTGCACAGCACATGAATACCGCCCCAGGCTCCCCGACACTGTTGAAGAGGTGGCTCGAAACTCAATATAATTCACTCACATTTCTGTCCTCTCTAAGGACTTGACTAGAGTAGTCAAGTGTGAGACCCCCTGGAAGCCATCGCCTCATCCGTCCTTGTTAGGTGATGTTCGTTTGCGTGTTCAGCAACCCCCCTGAGATTTCAGATCGCACAGGGCACGTGGGGGCTGGTGCCGCTCCTGTCACGGGTCCCTGGGCTCTGCTCAGCCCGAGAGAAGCATGTTAGAGAAGGGAGCTGCCTTGCCTGCCGCCCCCTGCTCTCTGCTCCCCCGAAACACACCGCACTGCTCGCAAAGAAGAAACAGGCCTCTTCTGATTTGGAAAACCTCTTCTGAAGTTTTTTCTTCCAATCATGCACGGAAACCGTACAAACAGCATTCTAGTAAAAGCCAAAAATCTCATAACTTGTTCAAATACCTAACTTTTTATTGTTTGAAAAAATAAAATTCATCCATAGTAGTCAAAGATGTAGCCACAGTGGGCCTATTCGAAAGAGCAGTCGAGCACCATCAGCAGGTCAGGCACACGGTCATCCGCGTCCGCGCCGAGAATGAATGACGGAGGTAGCGCCACGCCCTGAAGGCCCTTTCAGACTGGACGGGCTCAGACTGCCTTCTGCAGTGAGACCATCATTTGCATAATGTCTAGCCTTTAAAGGGGTCTATTTTGGAAAGCATACCCCGAATATATGTGTTACGAGTGTGTTTTAAAAGAAAACAAAATGCAGAAAGGGACATTGCAAAGTGCGTAAACACTCCATGTTTATATGATAGATTGTCTTATGCAATGTGCATCATAGCTACAGATACCTAGATGTGTAGAGGCATACATGTGCTTGTACATGCACATGTATGCACAGACATGAAAGGAAATGTTGACATTTGTAGGTGTTCATGTATTTTAGTTCTTTCCAGACTTCTACAGTTTTTTTTTGTTTTCTTTTGTTTTTTAAGAAATAGGGTTGTGGTCCTCTGGCTTTGCCAAGTGAACATAGCACTAGGGGACAATCACCTGTTACCAGCCTCTGGAATGCAGGGGGCTGTGACTTTGCTATTGTTGACCACACATTAGAAAGGCGTTATACCCTTAAAATGTTCAAATTAGATATTCTACTGAATGTCTTCTTGGCCATCGCTGTAGACAATTTGGCTGATGCTGAAAGTTTGAATACTGCTCAGAAAGAGGAAGCCGAAGAAAAGGAGAGGAAAAAGATCGCCAGGTAACCCTGTTTTCACAGAAGGTGTTTGCTCGTGCCTGCCTGGGAAGCCAGCTGCAGGTGAGGCCGGCAGAGCCACGCGGACTCTGCAGCAGCTGCGGCCCCACGTGGCTGCTCCGTGGTGATGGTGGGTGGCCACGTGGCGCTGACCCAAAAGGACAGAATCTGGGGCAGAACCCGGGCCCTTGGCGCTCATTCTCATAGCCAAGAGTGGGAGTCACACGTCCCCTTGCTTAAAGAATCACTGTGGCTAATTTTGGCACCATAAAATAAACGAAGCATTCAGTGCTGATTAGCTTTTGGATGAGCATTTTAATAAGACGATCCGTGTACCAAATCCAGTGCACTGAGTGAACGGGAAGATTTGAGTGTGGGTTGTGCTCTGTTCTTGCTGTTAGGATTTCCAATTAAATCCTGTCCTTCATTGGGCTGCTGCTGATGAGCCTATCGCGACTTGGTTTCTCATGTTCTGTTCTCCCCTCTGTAGAAAAGAAAGCCTGGAAAATAAAAAGAACAACAAGCCGGAGGTCAATCAGATAGCCAATAGTGACAACAAGGTATGTGATCCGAAACAATTCTCCCCTTCTTGTTTCAAAATGATTCACCATAAAGGTGCCATTTCCACCGAGAAAGTGTGCTGTGTGACGTTTGGGTGGGTGGGTACAGACGCTGGCTTCCCTCGGGGTCCCGAGAGAATTTAGGCACTTAGCTGGTGGTTAGCCGACATTTCACCAGAGAACCGGTATGTTAAATGTTTGCCTGGTCTGATCACTTACTTTCTCTTCATTGGACTTTTGTGGTCAGACCTGACGTGTGGTGGTGTCTTCTCAGTGGGGACTGAAGTCAGGGGCTGTTAATAGATATCTGCCCCCAAGGAGATCGCAGGATGGGGCTGTACTGTCAGACCTCATCCCACGGTGACATTCTGGAGTTTTCATTCTGTTGGTTGGTTGTTCCCTGAGTCAGTAAATATGTTTTGTGTGGTTACCGGTGTCAGATACTTGGGATTGAGACTGAACAAGACCCGTGCAGTCCCTGCCTGCATGGGACTCGCTGTCAGTATGTGACGATGCTGGGGCTGTGACCATGCCGGGAGGGGTCCTATCAGTTGTCTCCTCGTCTGCCCTCAGACTTCAGCAGTCACTGTCTGGAGCATCTGCTGCCCCTACTCACTCACTCATGTGCCTTGTACCTTTGGAAGGGGACCCCTCTGCCCTGTGCTGAGTGGCAGGGTTGGGTCCTCACTGTGGCCCGCTGACAAGCATTGAAGTCGGAATCTCCCCTAGGTTACAATCGATGACTACCGAGAAGAGGATGAGGACAAGGACCCCTACCCTCCTTGCGATGTTCCAGGTATGTCGGCGGGGCTGGGTTCCGGCTCTCAGCTCAGGAGTGACATGGCCTTGCTGCCTCTCTGTGATCAGTGGCTGAGTCCGCGGCTGGCGAGCCGGCGCACACGCTGGGCTGCGAGGCCATCGCGGCCACGGGTACAATCCCCTGCCTTTTCTCTAGATCACAGGCAGCTTACATAACCCAAATTCCAGGCGGTGGGAGAGAAAGTGTAGGTGGGTTGGGATAAGCCCGACCTTTGCTGGGAAACCTCTCTCGGAGGCAACCAGTTAGCACGACTCACCTGACAATTTCACATTTGACCAGAGCCTTTATTGGCTGGTGTAGGAGGGACTGTGAGTTAGAGGACCTTGGAGGACTGACCATGTGTGACTTGAAGTCCCACATTGTTTATTTGGGCTGAAGTTGAGCAAGGAATTTAGTGGGGACACAGCTGGGTGCTGGGGGGTGGCAGTGAGCACCCTGTTCCCTGTGCTCAGACCTTCCACTGCTGGGGACCTCGTTCCCACAACGGCACACTCACACACAGGCAAGCGTCTCAGTCCCCCCCTTACACACACACACACACAGTCCATGTTCTAAAGGGTTTTGATTCTTGTAAGCTGATAGATGTTGTTAAAATGTAAGCTAAATTTTCATGTGAAATTGAGAATAATTAAAACCGAACTGCAGCCTTTGTTTCATGCCTATAAAAAAGCATCTCATTTGAAGTAGGTGAAGAGGAAGAGGAGGAGGAGGAGGAGGATGAACCCGAGGTGCCCGCTGGTCCCCGTCCTCGCAGAATCTCAGAGTTGAACATGAAAGAGAAAATCGTCCCCATTCCTGAAGGGAGCGCTTTCTTCATCCTTAGCAAGACCAACCCGTAAATACCCCCTTTCAGGTCCCATCACTGCGGCGCCTCACCTGTGACCCCACAGGTTGCATGAGGGTGGCTGGTGGTGGGAGGAGGGCTGAGGATGGGGCAGCCCCTTTCTGAACTGAACATCAGAGCCCTACCCCCAGCCCCCGACCCCCCCTCAGCCCCAGCCTTGCCTTTGTCCTCTGCTCATCTCTTCCTAGCCTTTCTGTTCCCAGATGGAGGGGCTGCAGGAGTGTAGCCAAGTCCTGGGAGGAGCCATTCTAGAGTCTCCTCCCCTTAACCCCTGTACTGGGCTCAGCAGAGTGGAATAGCTGCTGCTTCGGAGCCCACGGCTCTGGCGTTCCCTGGGTGGTCCCCTGTGAAGTGTTTTCTTCACGACTGGGTCTTCTGTGAAGATGCTCTGGGGCATGAGAATTTTGTGACGGACCTGCCCAGCATCTTCATCCTGAGATCTAGTATAGTTGGTCCCTTTTCTCTGCTGAGTTTTCTGGCAATGAGTAATACTGCTCAGTGATGCTTTATAGGTTGAGCTAGTCAGGTCAGCTCTATGGTATCCTTAATCCATAGGAATGCTTACAACAGCGTTTCTCGTGTTAAGATGAAAAGGTGCTCGCCGGCAGCATCGCCGTGCTCACGGGTACTGTGGGAGGACGGCGCCCACTTCCTAGCTGGTCTCCGGGTTTTACACCGTCTGGATCGAGGGAAAGGCCAGAGGGGTCAGTGGTCCTGGGCTGTGGGGAGGGCTCTGCAGTTCTCAGGCCCCGGCAGACAGGCAGGGAGCGAGGCAGGCGGCCGGCCTGAGAGACGTGGAGATTTGATGAGTTTTTACCGCTCATCACTGTTGAGAGTCCAGGTGTCCCTTTAAAAAAAAAAGTGATTCATCTGACATTACCGACACCTATACTTGCTATGTATGCATATGTGGAAGGAACGGACTGAGGTCCTGCCTGGCGCTGGAAGGCCTTCTCCAGACTCGGTGGCTGTCAGTGGGCACGCCTCCCGGGGACCCGCTCAGCCTTACGCAGCCCCCAGAGGAGGATTTAAAGCAAGGAATCCCTTTCCTATAAAGTTGATTCCAGTTGTGAAAGTGAAAAAAATCTTTACAAAGGAAAACCTACCTGTATTCTGTAGGCCAAAAAAAAAATCTTTAAATTCTAAAGTCAAGTATTGAGGTTAAGGGTAGTCAGGTGCCGACTAGTTCCTAGGACATCGGGGCAGCAGGAGAGGCTCCCAGGGCCCACGGAGCCATCCTGAGGGCCAGACCGGGGGTGCGGCCTCACGGGACCCTGGGACTCGGCGACTCTGCCTCATGGTACAGCAGAATCCTTGCGAGGGTCCTGCTGATGACGTAACTCTCACCTCCCATTCTCAGAGTGCTCGTGACGGGTCAGCTCCAACATAACAATCGTTAATGAGGCCCTGTGACCACATCTCCACGTAACAGGACAGTCCCCGCCTCGCTCACTGCGGTCCCCTTTTACACAGCCCAGCTGTGTGCCGGGAGGGCCAGGCCCCCCTGAGCCGCTGCGGTGATGAGCTCTGGCCTCAGGCTCCCTTCTAGGTCAGGACAGGGGCTTCCTGCGAGAGCGGGCAGTCACCTTTGGGCCTTGCTAAGTATGTCCACGTGCTTAAGCCTCCGTTTCTTCTCCTTTAGCCAGTGACGGTCCCACGTCTGAGGACTCAGTGACTGGTGTCCGTGGTGGTCCCACACAGCCGTGGCACCCAGGCCCTCGGGGTCTGCTGTGCAGGGGGTTTGAGGGCTGATGGTCAGGGGGTTCTGGTTTGCTGGGTGGGGCGGGGCCGTGCTCTGCCCGCCCTGGGCCAGCGGCCTGCGGGCGCTGGCTGGCGCTGTGTCCACGCACTGGCTCTCCCCGCAGGATCCGCGTGGGCTGCCACAAGCTCATCAACCACCACGTCTTCACCAACCTCATCCTCGTCTTCATCATGCTGAGCAGTGCGTCCCTGGCCGCAGAGGACCCCATCCGCAGCCACTCCTTCCGGAACACTGTAAGCCACCTGGGCGGGGGCAGGAGGGCGGGTCCCCTGGGGCCGGCGCTGGCCTCTCCTGTCCTCCACACACGGCCTACGGAGGCCGGAGGCTAAAAGCTAGAGGAGACATCTCCTCACCCACAGGCATTTCCTGTTTCAGGTCTGTAAGTGTCAACGGGGTTTTGAATCGTGTATTTTAAACTTCATTTTAAATACTCTTCAATAACTGAGAGTGTGTTCGCGGACCCCGCTTCTCTTCCTCCCCCTTCCCACTGCCCATATTTTGGCCCCTGTCCTCTCCCTGGTCACATTCCCGTCCACACCTGTTTGGAGATGTCTGTGGGAAGCCCCCAGCAGGAGAGAACGTACACCTAAACCAGGTGTGATACAGGCCCAGGAGCGCTCACTTAGGATTGGAGGGGAGGACTTCTGTCCTGTGTGGATGGAAATTCACAAAGCCCCCTGGCTCCGTTCCTGGGAACGATACAAGTTAGGGAGCAGGTGGGATGTGGAGTTGAGTGGTTCTGTGGAGAGGAAGAACTGTGTTTGGTGGGGCAGAAAGTGAGTTTATGATGAAAACAAATGCAGGGTTAGGTTTTCTATTCATCAGTTTCCTAACGTAGGGGTCACACCCTTGCATGGCATCTATGCTGGACAGAATGGGACTTGGCGCCTTTCGGCCCTGGTCCTGTAACACAGTTTCAGATGGAAACTAAGAATCCCTCCCAGGAGAGGGCGGCCGCCCTGAGGCCAGAAGGTGTCCCTGCCTTGCCTGGGCGGGACCTCTGTCTGTTCATGAGGTTTTAGAGATTTGAGGATTAAGGCAAGTCGCCAGCTCAAAGCCCCAGAATGTCGGTTGTAACAACCAACCCTCGTGCTGTGTCTCTCCAGTTCCAGTCTCTGGGTTTGTCTGACAAACCCAACCTATCAGACTGATAAACACACACTCAGACTCAGAGATAAAGAACTTTCCTCCATGGCTCGTGCTGGTGCTGATACAAAGATAATAGCCCTGAGCCTGCCTTAATCTTTCCATTCAAATGGAACGAAGGCCGGGGTGTCTGAGTTCCGGAGTCAGAATGAGACCCAAGGGGAAAACATCACATGACAGACTAGGTCAGAGCTAGTCTAGAACACAGATTGACAGAGTTCATTTCTGCTGGGGCCTCCTGTGCTCTCGTCTTTTATTGTTACTACTTTCCCATGAGTGTATCCCCTGCGGCTTTTCTCAAGAATGTTATGGTTTGTTGTTAAATAGATGTACACATGTGTATATGTATTGTTTTTAAAATGCTACAGTTTTTCTTACTGTGGTAAGAACATGTAACATGAGAGCTACCCTTTTAACACTTTTTTTTTTTTTTATCCTCACCCAAGGACATTTCTCCATTTTTTGTTCAGATGGAGTGGGAGGGAGAGAAAGCGAAACATGGACGAGAAAGGGACACATCAGCTGGTTGCCTCCTACACAACCCCAAGCGGGGCTGGGGACAAACCGCAACCGAGGTGCATGCCTTTAGAAGGACCCGAACCGGGTCTCTCCAGACCACAGGCCAACACTCTAACCACTGAGCCAAACCGGCCAGGGCGGGGGCAACATATTTTTAAGTGTACAAGGCAGTTTTCGGTGTTCGTGGTGATAGGCGCTACGTTGCTGTACGGCAGATCTCCAGGACACTGAAACTATCCATTGAACAGCTCCCCGCTGCCCCTCCCCAGCCCCTGACATGGCCATTCCTCTTCTGTCTCTGGGTGTCTGACTATTTTAGATACTTCATGTCATCTCAGTCTTGCAGTATCTTTGTTTTGTTTTGCTTTCAAACCTTAGCTGGGTTTCAGTGGGAGAGAGAAAGGAGGCTGCGGGAACCTGAGGGCTTTGGCCCAGGTGCTTTCAGCGGGGCGTCCTGCTGTGACGGGGAACGTGAGGAGGAGGGGCGGAGCCTGTAGTGGATGGAAATGCTTTGCGTGGCCTGGCCAGAAACGGGCGCACCGAGAAGTTCCAGCAGAATGTGGAAGCTCAAACGTGGAAGCACCTTAGGTCATGAATACACTCTGAAAAGAGAACTTAAACTTGAGCTGAGGGGAGCTGGCCTTTGAAACAGAGGTCCCCACCTGTTTGTAACAGAGCAGGACAGGACTCCCGGGGGCAGACCACATACGTAAGCACCGGGCCCGTGGCTCTCGACCAGCATTGCACAGGCCTGGCTCCGTCCTCAGCAGTGCCGTGGCTGGCTTCGTGGCCGAGCAGGTGTCCCCGTCTGTTCAATGAAGGGAGTGGCCTATGGTTACCAGAGTCCCTTCCAGCTCTGATCTCTTCAGTTCTTTCAAACCATAGAGCACAGTTGTCATGAGAAGAATTGACCGAGGTGGCTGCCGTTCCCCGGGAGCAGCTTAGTTGAGTGGTGGTCGGGCTTCTTGCTGCAGCCCACCTGCTCTGTCCCCCTTCCCCATGGCTCTGAGAAAAGGCAGAGACCCCAGAAGGGGCCAGCAGGACTTGGTTGGTTGGAGAGTAGACAGTATTTTCAGGAGTACTGGCAAAGTAGCCTGGCCTGACAATTCAAAAACCAGGTCATCTGTTCTTTGGGGGGCCCGGCGAGGTTAGAAAACAGTGTTGGGGGAGAGCAGTGCTAGGGGCAGAGCAAGGTGGTGAGGGAAACTCTTCCTTGAGGACTTATCCAGCCCTGCACATCGGTGGGCGGAGGCTGTTTGCTCCCTGATTAAATGGGCTGGGATGGGAGGGGACTCGCGGAAGCTTCTGGCCCCATTTAATGGCCCTTACATCATTGTTTACATTTCTCTACCAATCTAAAGCTCAGCTGGATGGCAACATATTTCACTCAGCCAAAAATGCAGTTAAAAATTCAAAATGTGTCTAAGACTCCTATTTATCTGGTGCCACAAGTAATTTGTCAGGGTGGCACTCTGATGAGAAAAGGTTATTAATAAAGCACTTTTAGAATCGAGTCTCTGTCTGAGCTGTGAGACCGGGCAGAGAGTCCGCAGGAGTGGTTCAAGGACGTAAGTTTTCCACGTCCTCTTTGCCGGTCACTAGGATGAGCTGTGATCGGCCCGGGTGGGGCATTTCTGAGGACCTCTGTACTGACCGCCAGAGGGGCAGGCTGATCCCGGGAGGGTCTCTGATTGCACGTGGCGTTCCACCTGTGGGCATGTGGCTGTGGAGTTTGTCCAAATGTTTTTTTCTCATCTCACCGTTATACCTTTCAGATACTGGGCTACTTCGACTATGCTTTCACAGCCATCTTTACTGTCGAAATCCTGCTAAAGGTAATGGCCTTTTTAGCGGTCCTCACATACTCCAACGCAGCTGTAGCAATACCAGTTTCAATTCTCTGTTTACTTTCTAGATACTAGGTTTAGCAGATTGTCTTCATTGCAACTTTTGCCTTTGAGGTTGTTTTGCAGGTGACAGGTTCCACGGCGTCGAGTGGAAGGGGCCTGCTCCTGCGTGTGACACAGCAAAGCAGTGTGGCGTGCTTTGGGCTGTTTTTGCTTTTTGTCGTCTGCTTATACGTTGTTGTTTTTTTAACCAAAGGATTTTTTTTTCCCTGAAACTTCAACCTGCTTTTGCTCTTCCTTTTGAAACTTTGCTGCATGGAGGAGTTATTTTGGCTTCATAATAGTGATTAGAAATTATGTTTTGCTATTTTTTTATGTCCTCTGAAATATGTCAACGGAGAGCAGCTACATCACTATGTGTGGACTTTCTTACACCCTTCCTGACATCAGAGTCAGAGGAAAAGCATTTATCCTATGAAGGGAGTATCTCTCTTCTCATTTCTTGGACTGAATCAGGTTCCAGTGGCCTAAAATAGTAACAGCACTATTTTCCTGCAACAGGACTTGCAAGATAACTTGGGTCTGTTTGTGTTAAGATACGTTATATCTGTTTTAATGGATGGGCTTACATTTACACAAACACAAAGAGCACCTTTTGGACAGGGTGCCCTAAATGTGCTGCCCATGCATGAGCTAAGAGTTACCATGGTTGCATGCGGTTTGTGTGCTGATGGTGCAGGCCACCCTGGGGCGAGCTCAGTCCTTATGCACCCAGCAGCCTGGAGACTAACAGCAGAGAGGCAGGAACCCCCCAGTCTTGCTAAACGGTGGGTTATAGCAGCACTCCATAGTGTGGCCTTTGACACCGATCAGAGCAAGTCCATGGGGACACAAGCTGGGAAATGAAGACTTTTAACCACAGTTTTCTTTAAACCATCTTGTGTGTGCATCTCCAGAAAAATGTGTTTGATGTTAGACTACTGTAGAACTGGGGCTCTTGTCAAAATCTTCTGTAGAATGAAACCTCAATTAACCTTGCTCAGGAATTAGGTATTTATTTTCTTTCTATTATGATTGGTAATAGACACATGAGCCCAGCGCCAACTAAGCAACCAACCTGTTTAAACAGTTGGAAATCTAAACATTTTGGTTCGTTTTCCTGCCTGTACGCTAGTGAACTTGAAGGCTGGTGAACTTGGTTGACAGTGCTAAGTCAGACCCACACCTGGGTCAGTGAGCAGAGCCCGACGACGGTCTCCGTGGTGAGGAGCGCAGTGTGGAGGGCAGTGGGCGGGCGAGGGCGCGAGGACACTCAGCCGGCCTCTGCCGGGTCCCCAGCTGCTTCACTGATTTTTGTCATTGTCCTTCTCTTCCTCCAGCCAAATGGGGAAATGTTCCATTTAGTCTGTTAGCCTGGTTAATTGAGGTTTTGTTTCACTTTCCACGTGTCTTAGTTGTTAAATGAATCTTGTTACTTTCAGGCTTTGGGGCAAATGAAATACAAGCTTATTTAAAAGAAAAACACACTACTTTTCGATTTCTGTATATTTGCCTCAATGCTTTAAATCTTCCAAGTCATTCTTCATTTTGAAAGTATTTTAGAGAGTGGAAAATAAGCTAAAAAAGAAGGATTCAGAAAATGGAGATTCACCAAGAAGCATCTGACCTCTGAAATGGTGGCTCCTGGTGGCCTTGGGGACATTCGGGAGGCTCTTGGCTATTTGGTTAACGCATGAAATTGCCCCTTTTGTAGGTCAGAAAGGTTGCGTGCTGGCAGTTTCAGATGGTTCGATTTTATTAGTTCCCAACTGTGTAACGTATCTGAGTCTTCCCCACTTTTTGAAAAAAAAAAATTTATTTTTATTAATTTATTTTTGTTATAGATGTTTCTCTCTTTTCCCTGAAAAAAAATTTTAATGTAAACAGTGAATTCTTTGAATTTTGCTGTTATCACTCTGGGGAAGTTCTTCACTAAACTCCTTTCCCACGCACCAGTGTGGGCTCCAGGTGCATGTGTTCTGTGACCAGAGAGCAGGGAGACTGATGTAGGTGAGATGCTGTGGCAGCCTCCTAGCCACACCTTGCCCCAGCCGGGCCCTAACCACACCTTGCCCAAGCTGGGCCCTAACCACACCTTGCCCCAGCCGGGCCCTAGCCACGCTTTGCCCAAGCTAGGCAGCAGACTTGGAAGAGTTGTTTATAGTGGACACATCACGAAGGACTGTTAGGAGTAGGAAGGGGGCTCCTGGGAAAAGTACTAGATTCTGTGCAGACAGAGCCAGTGAGTACTGGACTCCAGCGATGTTTCTAGCCCCTGGGTTGGAACACTGCCAGCTCCCCTGGGGACTCAGGGCCAGACCCGCACACTGTGGGGACACAGGTGTCCAGGCAGCAAGTACGGTCGTGGGGACTCCCCTGAGATAGGCCCCTGGGACATGCCAATGGTATTCATATTTGAAATTGGTAGTTGCTGTAATAAAATCTAAATTGCTCTCTTCTTTTAATATGTCCCCCAAGTGAGCTTCCCTTTTTGAACAGATTATTCAGGTGCTCAGCCTTGTTGGTTTACTGCTGGCTCCATAAGGTATTCTTGTTAATGAAGATAGACTTTCCTCAGGGTTTGTCAGGAGCCCAGGTTTCTTTCCCTCTGGAGGGCACACAGTGAGGCCCATGGTTCTGCTTGCAGATGACGACGTTCGGGGCGTTCCTCCACAAGGGGGCCTTCTGCAGGAACTACTTCAATCTGCTGGACATGCTGGTGGTCGGGGTGTCTCTGGTGTCATTTGGGATCCAGTAAGTATTCTGGGGGGGGGGGGGTGCACATGGGTACGGGAATGTGGAGCAGGACGGTTCCCGGGCGGAACCGAAACATCTGTAAAGGCTTGACGTCATTTAACAGTCACGTTTGGTTAGCTGGGAGAGCTGTGTCGGTAAAGCAGTGGGCACTCCAGGTTCCTGTGTGTCTCCCTTTCATTGCTGGCGTGGGCATATTCCTCTCTGTGCGATGTGCTTTCAACAGAGTGAAAGACGCCGAGTTCTCCTTCAGCGTCCTGCAGGGCTGGCCCCAGGGCCTTGAGCGCATCCTCTTGGTTGCCTGTCTCTAGGGGAGGGCCTGGACCAGGTGGCCTCTTGGAGCCCTTTCTGTGTGGATAGTGAAGGTTCCCTTGATTTCTAGGATATATGACCCCCCCCCCTTTTATTTTTGTCCTCAGAAATTTTTAGCTAGGAGGGGCTGAGACTGCAGTCAGGGCCCCAGGTCCTCCTCATGGCATTTAGAGACTTCTGGTGGGAGGTAGCCCGAGCGGCGCCGCCTGCCTGCCATACCCGGGGGTCTGGGGCAGAGGCTTTAGTGGGAGCACCCAAGGGTGGCCTTGCTTTCCCGCTGGCTTCTAAGCACCACCGCCCAGTGCTGACCATCAGTATTTGCTACAGGAGAGCGTGCATGCACACCTCTGAGCTCAAGGTGCATGGAGAGGCTCTGTTCCCTGCAGAACCCTTACCTGAAACAGCTCTCTCTGGTGGTAGTCCTCCTCACCTCCCGCCACTACCCAGGGGGAGGGAACCCTGCAGTTGCAGCTTGGAAGGACATTCTAACCAGTATCTTAGCAACTTTCATGAACTCCTGGCTGCACCTGCCCTCTCCAGCCGCAGCCCTTGCCCACTGCCTCCTGCAGAGGTGCTGGGGCCGCGCCCAGCCCCTGCTCCGCTAAAGGAGCTGCACTGTCTCGTCCAGGACCCGCCCACCTGGCACCCCTGGGCCTGCAGCCCCTTCCCCCTTTGCCTGGCTAACCCTCGCTCCCCCTGGACTCACCTGGATATCATCTTTCTAGGGGGCCTTCCCAGGCTCCCCAGGGTGACACCTCCCTCGCTACATCGCCTGTGTGGTCATACCTGCCCCATGGGGCTGCAATTGCCCATCTCTCCCACCAGTTGACTCATTAAAGGCCAGCAGAGCCCAGCACCAAAGCACCACAGCACACTCCGAAGTTAGAAAACAAAGCCAAATAAACAGAACCGAAGCCTAAGAGCCAGGTACTACCTAGCATTTACATTCAGTGAAAAGAACAAAGCCAGTTTCCTCACTCGTGTCTCTGCGAGGCCAGCTGGGCACCTGACTCGGGCCTCTGGCCTGGAGTCGTCCATGGACTGTGGTCACGATTGTCTGTGAGTCTCAGGGAGAGGGCAGCTCAGCTCCACATGGTCCCCACCACACTGTGCAGTAGTAGCAAAGTGAAAACCAAGTGTAGTAATTTCAAAGTGTTTTATCCAACTCTGATACACTCTGCCTTCTTTCCTCCCTCTGTTTTTCCCTTAGATCCAGCGCCATCTCCGTTGTGAAGATTCTCAGGGTCTTACGGGTCCTACGGCCGCTCAGGGCAATCAACAGAGCAAAAGGACTGAAGGTTTGGGCCCGTCTGCTCCAGGCGGGGCTGGCGCCGGTGGGGTAGCTGTGATCACTGGCTTTCCAGGGCCAGAGCCGGGCTGAGGCCTGATGCACTTTCGAGTGGGTCATACATTCGAAAAGGACATTTCTACCCAGTTGAGCTGCCTCTGTTATTATTTTTATGTATTTAAAATATTTTCCTCATGTGATAACTGCTCATTTACTACTTTTTTTTTTTTTTACTCTCACCCGAGGATATTTTTCCATTTTTTGTACAGATAGAGTGGGAGGGAGAGAGAGGAAGGGAGAGAGAGAGAGAAACATCGACGTGAAGGGACACATCGAGTGGCTGCCACCCGCACGACCAACCAGGGCCGGGGACAAACTGCAACCGAAGCACGTGCCCTTAGCGGGAACCGAACCCGGGTCTCTCTGGACCGCAGGCCGATGCTCTAACCGCTGAGCAAAACTGGCCAGGGCTCATTTACTACTTTTTAAAAAATTATTTATAGTGTTTACTTTGGTCTTTAAATCTGTTCTCATGCAGGTTGTACTAAAGGCCAGAGGGTTTGTGTTTTCCTGAGTCCTTCTGTGGGGTGGGGAGTCGTGTGGGCCTGTGTGCCAGGCAGTGCTGCACCCCGCGGCAGGAAACCAAGGGGGGACCCGCTAACGGGGTGCTCTTCCCAGGCAGCCACGGGCACTGGGGCAACTCCCACAGACAGCTACCTGGAAACAGAGCCCCACAGAGCCAGACAGTCGTAGACAGACACACATGCACACGGACAGCCCTGGCTGGTGGTAGCTCCCTCCTCTCCCCGCTCTCTCCGCAGCACGTCGTCCAGTGCGTCTTTGTGGCCATCCGGACAATCGGCAACATCATGATCGTCACCACCCTCCTCCAGTTCATGTTTGCCTGCATCGGCGTCCAGCTGTTCAAGGTACAGGCACGTGCCCTGACAGGAGGCCGGGGGTCTGCTTGGGGGCCAGCTTATGATGGACTGTCTGTCTGTTTGGTACTCAGGGAAAGTTCTATCGCTGCACAGATGAAGCCAAAAGCAACCCTGAGGAATGCAGGTGAGCCTCCTGAGCACAGGCTGGGAGTTCGGAGAACAGGCGGAAGACCTCCAGGACTTGCTGTGCTGACATTTCCGAAGTCATGGGCCCCGAGGCCTGTGTGCTCGGCTCATGGCTGGAGGGACGCAGGGTTTTGTGGGGTTGGTTGGTTTGTTTGAGGTGAAATGCACATCACATGAAGTTAGCCATTTCAAACCACATAGTTCAGTGGCATTTTGCACAATCCCATTGTGGTACATGTAAGATCACCTCTGTCTAGTTCCAAAGTATTCCCCAAAACACTGGACAGATGGCTATTGATGTTCGGTATCGAATCTGTAAACTGGGGCATGGGGAGACTGAAACCTAAAATCACAATTATGAAATGCCCCAGAATGCTCACCTTATAGCCACATGGATAATTTTTCCCCAAACCAGAACTCAGAGCTCCACTCTCTGGTATTCAGGAGCTAGCTGCCGTTTTCTGATAGGTTTCCTGCCACCCACAGTTTGGCCACATTTCCATTCACAAGCACGGGTAGAGGAGAGAGAAGGGACATGCTCCTGCCTCTTCCCAAGCTGTGCGAAGAATGTGGAGGCAGACTCCATTGCCTGAAGCCTGAGACTGCAGAAATCTACTTCCCTGTCCTTTGGGATGTCACCTAGTGAGGCCCGGCTGTCTGCACTGGTGTGGGGTTTCTCGTTAGCAGAAGGTGCGGTCAGAGAGCACCAACTGTACTGTGACGGGCTCTGCTCCTCAGGGGGCACCGTTCACGTGGGCTGTGGGTGGAGGGCGCCCCCTGGGGTTGAGCTGCATAGCAGCAGAGTGAAGACACCTGCCCTTTCCTCTGTAAGCCTCTACGTCCTCGTCTGTAAAATAAAGACGCTGGGCTCTGTCCAGAAACTAAGTTCTATGAGAACTAGTGTGTGCCAGAAATTATAGGAAAAAACCTGGGAATATTGTTCATGTAAAGAGAAGGAATTTGATCAAAATCAAAATGCAGATAAGAGGCTACCTGGGCTTGTTCCCAGAGCTTACAGAATTCTCCACGGCCAAAACTTTTGATTCTTCAGTGTACACTTTGAGCCCATTCCAGGGGAGAGATGCTCATTGTCCGGTCGTTTTCCTGTGTAATCGGCCTACGCAGGTGTCTGCCTCGTTGCTCTGGAGGAGACTCATTAAACTAGTAGTTACTTGGCGGTTGTGTGAACCGGAGGGGATTGAATGCAGGGCAGGAGAAACACAGATGGTGCGGTGCTGGATCCGTGGGCCGGCTGGTGGACTGAGCCTGTCTGTGCCTGGAGGTAGGGGGTGGGGCAGCTGTGACCGCTTCCCTGTCAGGCCAAGGTGACCCACCTTTCTTTTCTTCTCTAGGGGACTTTTCATTCTCTACAAGGATGGGGATGTTGATAACCCTGTGGTCCGTGAGAGGATCTGGCAGAACAGCGATTTCAACTTTGACAATGTCCTTTCTGCTATGATGGCACTTTTCACGGTCTCCACGTTTGAGGGCTGGCCTGAGTAAGTACAGCGAGCGAGCGAGCGTCTTTGAGAGGCTCCTCCTCGCTTCGGGGTCCCCTGGGCTGATCAGCTCTCCTGACGTGACTTCTGCTCTTCTCCCCAGTTGCAGGCCTCGCCTGTGACTTTTAAACTTTGGGCCAATTATCAGTCACTTCTTGGCGCACAGGGCTCCTCTGTCTGATTAGGCCAAGGGTTAACCCCTGGTCAGCCGACAGGACTCTTTGGGAAGCAGGGGGAGGGGCATAGCTCTCAGCCTGGGGGCTCATCTCAGCTAGCTCCTGGGGAGCATCTTTGGATGGGAATGGGGAGTCCCCAGAGGCATTTTTCATGCCAACTCCCATTAGTAGCCATGTCAGGAAAGCTGCCTTTACACTAAGGGTCTTGATAGTACCAAACCATTCATTCATTCATTCATTCGTTTGTTCGTTCGTTGGTTGGTTCGTTCATTCCTAGTACTAATATGTGCCAGGCGTGAGTGGCTGCCATTGTGCCAGGTCTTTCACTGAGGCACCCACTTTATCATGAAATGTGCTTTTGACACCAGCTCCACGAAACATGCTGTTCGGCATCATGGAAGAAATGGTTGCCTTGGCATGGTTCCTCCCTTCAAAGCCCAAATTCAATTAGTGTGGCAGGTGATCAAACCAGGTAGGAGAGTCTGCTGTGTCCGAGATGCGCAGAATAGGGCCCTGAAGAAGGGCTAGGATTTTGATGGGCAGAGTAAACAAAGCAGAAAGAAGGCAGGAGGTGGAATACAGAAGGAGCCTCTTGTACCTTTGTTACTCTCGGCTCTCGGACGCCCCACCCCACCTCTAGCTCCTGCCACCAGAGCACAGAGGGTAGATGGAGTCCCGAATGTCAAGTTCCCACAGAGGAACTGCAGACGGTGTCAAGTTCCTTTCCTGTTTGGAGGTTTTGCGTCTTAGGTTCTGAATACTGTGCTTTAGTGAATCAGGGTGCCAGCTGAGGGGACAGGAACAAATTTGGGACATGGGACCCTGGAGCTGGGCTCAATTCCCAGTTCTGCCCCCAAAGAGTGTGACCTTGGTCACTTAGATCCCTCCCTGAACTTCCATAAGATGGGGTACAGTGCTGTCTGCCTTTCAGATGGATGCCAAGGTGGATAGCACAGGGTACCCGGGCGGGGGCGGGGGGGGGTGCCCTGGAAGTGTTGATTCGGCCTCAGAATGGGGCTGCATTTAACTTGGGGATTTTGTAGTAATTTCACCTCTTCCTGCTGAGTCCTGCTGGGCTTATATTTAATCGAGTGTGTATTTCAGTTCGGGGAAGTTCTCTGAGTTTTTTAGAAATTCATGGTTACTTGCTGTTGTCTTTGCCAGTGTACTGTAGAGTTTTCAGTTCAGCCAGTGTCTACACGAGACAGTCTTCCTCTCTCCTACCTCTGAGTAGGAAGGAACATTATTGAATATTTGAGAAATCTTTAGTTTTTCAGCCCTCAAAACATCAATCACAAATATATCCCAGGTGCTGGGCTGACTGTGCCTCGGAGACCTGCCTGTGCCTAGGGGCCTTGGGAGGGGCTCCAGCGAGGGTTCTGACGGTCCGTGCCCATGTGGCGTTCAGAAGAGGGACACACCTGGGAAGGCGCTGGGGCTGGGCTGCCTGGGCTGAGCGGGGTTTCTGTTCTCCAGGTTGCTATACAAGGCCATCGACTCGAACGGAGAGAACGTCGGCCCCATCTACAACTACCGCGTGGAGATCTCCATCTTCTTCATCATCTACATCATCATCGTCGCTTTCTTCATGATGAACATCTTCGTGGGTTTCGTCATCGTCACCTTCCAGGAACAGGGAGAAAAAGAGTATAAGAACTGTGAGCTGGACAAAAATCAGGTTAAAGTCACACACTGTTTGGGCTTCCGTCCCTTGAGCAGGAGAGGAATTGCTTCTCTGTCGATGGTCTCCCTACGCACAGAGAACGGTGCCACCTGTTCTGTCCCTGGTGTTTGGGCCCTGCTCAGAGCACACCCCCAGCCAGTATGAGTCATTGCTGCTGAAACTTAGGTTCCCAGATACAGATTTGGCTTTGTGATTGTGGAATCCACCCCCAGACCTGTAGCTGAGGTCAGAGAGGTGCTTGGGCCACTGTCTGTGGTCGTGACCCACCAGTGACAGCTCTTAATTTTGTAGGGTGGTGTGGCCGGGGGCCAGAAAGCACCCAGTGATGCCCCCAGAGTTCCTAATGACAGACAGTCTTCTATCTCCTCACCCTTGGCACTAGTGGCGTTTTAGGCCAGATGGTTCTTGTGCTTTGTGGGATATTTGTCAGCATCCCTCTACTCCCTACATTCCAGTAGCATGCCCTGACCCCCCACCCAAACACTACTTTTGGTGAGAACCAAAAACATCTCCAGATGTTGCCAAATGTCCCCTGGTTGAGAACCCCTGACTTAAAAGGAAGTACGCTATCACACCACAGAAAAGTCACTAGCTTGAAACTTGAGGCTCAGACTGCACTGGGACCAGTCTGTCTCTAGCACCATGTCTCAGCCGACAGAGCGGGGCTTCGCTCTGACTGGCGATGCGCGGGGGCCAAGCAGCCTGCACTCTGGTCCTGTCTGCCTGCACCGGCCCTGGGACTGAGCACGTCCCGAGCCTGTCTGGGTTTGCTTGCTGCTTTATCTCTAAATTGAGGGCATTCAGGAGCTGCTCTTTGAGATCCCTTTCAGCCTCGAAAGATTGTGAGATTGAGGTTCTGCTCGGGGAGTTTCCCCCAGGTCCTCTATCAGTAGCATCTCGGTTTGATGATGACAGAGTGAACAAGAATGATCTGCCAGCCTGGGCTTCCTGGGGGAAGTGGCTGTGGCAAGGCCATCTGTCTGTCTGGGGCTGCGGCCATACCCCGTGGAGAGAACGTGAGGGCAGTGCTGGCTCGGTTTCTAGAAAGATGTTGCTTTGAGTTGTGAGGATATCTCTGCAGAGTCTACTGGGGCCAGTCAGAGGGAGACCTGGCCCAGCTCTTCACCCCCATCAAGGAGGAAGAGTGTTGTGGCCAGGCCCAGGCCAGCCAGGCAGCACCAGAGCTGAGATGATGTCACCACCCGAGGTCCAGAACAGGCTCGGATCGGTGGCCCCTGGAGTCAGCGTCTGAGGTCACAGCAGGGCCTGGGCCTGGACAACAGGGAGCTTGTCTGAAGTCAGAACCCAGAGTCAGGCAGAAGAACAGGAGCAGGTCTGGGTCTAGGCACCAACAGGGCCTGCTGCCGAGCTGGCAGGCTGGAGGCTCCCTCTGGGCTTGCTGCAAAGGTGGACCAGTGTCAGCCCCACAGTGAGTGGGGAGGGGAGTGCGCTGGCATCATGACAAACCTGCAGGTCTGAGAACTCAAGCTCCTGAGCCTCAGACACTCCCAGATGACACGCAGCTAGCTCACCATTAGCCGCTCCCGAGAGGTGACTCCCTGGGGTCCATCCTGGAGCAGCCATGGGGCTCCAGCCTCAGGCAGGGAACCCAGCCCCTCAGGTTCTGGAGGGTGTCTGTGCCTCTCGGGACATGGTTTCCTTTCCCGGAGGACAGGTGGGCAGGAGAAGTGCAGACGCAGTCCACTGCGCAGCGGAGGGGCAGGGAGAAGGGGCAAGGCCTCACGTCCCTGCTGTGCACCCTGAGGGGCACTCACAGCTGTGGACTCCGTGTCGCAATAAGTAAAATGGAAGCAGATGGGGGGATCTGGGAGGATCAGAAGAGGTGATGGGGCTGGGGGCCCTTTGTCCCTGATACGGAGTGATGCCCATGGGGTTGCCTCGTAGTCCCCCCCGCCCCCCCCGCCCCGGTCCCTCCCAGTGGGTCCTGCACGGGCTCTTTCAGAGCAGCTGAGAGCTGCGTCCTCTTTCTGTAGACGTGCTCAGGACCCTCCTTGTTCTTTTCTGCCGTTGCAGCGTCAGTGTGTTGAATACGCCTTGAAAGCACGTCCCTTGCGGAGATACATCCCCAAAAACCCCTACCAGTATAAGTTCTGGTACGTGGTGAACTCCTCGCCTTTCGAATACGTGATGTTTGTCCTCATCATGCTCAACACGCTCTGCTTGGCCATGCAGGTAAAGATGGAGACACACGGGGATGGGGATCATGCCTGGGCCTTCTGCACAGTCCCGTGCCCCAGATTTGAGTCTGGGAGGCCAGCCCCTCAAAGGAGATGATTTGATTTTTCTAATGAGTTGGGGCTGCAGTTAGGTCAGAGTCCCATTCTTGGCTAACAGTCATCACAGTAGGCGTTTAAGATGGTTCTTTTGTTTGAGACATTGTATTGCGTGACCATAGGTAACATTTCCACGGAGCTGGGGTCCCCTGTGACCAGGGATTTGGACAGACCGGCATTCCAGTCCTGACTTGACTCCTCACCAGCAGGGCAGCCTGGGGCAGTGATTTACATCCTGAGACTGGTTTCTTTATTGGCATAGTGGGAGGTCCGTCGTACCTGCCTCAGATGTGCCGTTTATGCTGGACAGTTTGTGCCAGGCACTTTGCTCTGGGCCTGTCACAGAGTAGCACCCCAAGTTGAAAACATGTAAGTCGCACTCCTGTCCTCGAGGGGCTCTCGGTGTGCAGCGGGGAATTTCCCGCTCATGGAGCATTGAGTTTCACCTGCATTACAGATGTTCTCTGCTCACGCTGGGGACGTGGAGTACAACTCACTTCCGCTGGCCATGCTGGATCACAGTATGGTAACAGTGTGACTTTTAATGTAACTCTGTATTTAATATAAACACTGTAACTAATAGAATGAACAGTTAGCCTCTCCAGCACTTCATCGTCTGATTGCACTAGGATAAGAAGCAGAGACCGAGGTCTCGGTTCAGTTCACACTGACTTTAAGAACCTGAGCAAACCAACTCCCAAATGCGACCTGGAAAACGGGGCTAAAGACAGCCAACAGTGCATTTTCTAGCACTTTCTTTAAACGTAAGAGTTTTTTATGCATGAGAAGGATCACACACTGATGCAGGAGAAAGTGGGAAGTCAAGATAATACTGCCTTTTATTGAACATAGAAATAACTGGCATGAAGTTCATCTGGAACCAATTCCTACCTTTACTCAGACCTCTGGGTGGGTTCTGCACTGTGCCTGCCTGGGTCGTGGCCCTGAGTATAAACCCTGCCAGAAGGCGGGGTGGGTTTCTTTTATCCCGAGCAGAGGAAATTGATGTCTGTCCCCTTCATTATCCAGTCCTCCTCACCTTGTCAAGGCCCCCTGCACTTTGTGGGGAGGGTTTGTGACCTCGCAGTGCCGGTGGAATCACTGAGGGAAGGTGCTGGACTGTGGAGGTCACCTCTGCGTCGGCATATAGGAGGGACATCTGAGGGAGTGGAGGGCTGGGGAGCCTCCCTTTGTGAGTCTGGACGGGGCCTCTGAGAACTGTGCCCCTCTGTCCACAGCACTACGAGCAGTCCAAGATGTTCAATGATGCCATGGACATTCTGAACATGGTCTTCACGGGGGTGTTCACCGTTGAGATGGTTTTGAAAGTCATTGCATTTAAACCCAAGGTGAGTTGCTGAAACCATTTTTCAGAGGCTGTTGCTGAATCACCCCAGAGAAGCACCCGCTTCCTGTTAGTCTCGTTACTGAATTATGCTGAATTGTTCTGGCCGCTAACTGGGTTATCACCTGAGATCATTACAATCTGATTAGGGCTTCTCTATACACGTGGGAAAATAAATCTGCAAAAACAAAGCCTCATAAAAACAATTCTGAGAAAAAGAAGGGAGGAGAGAATTGGGAATGGGTAGAATGGAGATTGTTTTAAACCTGATTTTCAGTGTCTAGAAGAGCTCGCGTCTGGCTGTCTCGGAGAGACTTGTTTCGTTACTGGAACACTAATTGTTTTAACACAGCCCATCAGAAAGAATTCGGCCCTGGTTTTACTTCTGGGTTTCTGAGATGAAGACTTTCGTTGTATTTGTTCTTGCCCAACAACCCCCTTTTCACTTCCTATGGAAAGGCCTATCAGCTGCACCCCTCTCGTAGCCTTACTATTTTTGTTTATTTACTTTAGAAAAATCTTCCCTTTAAGACAAAATGAGACATGAAATGTGCTGAACTGTGTTGGACAATTCAGCATGTTGTGTCTCCTCGGGGTGTGGTATAAGAGGCAGATAGGGCAGTGTTGAAGAACACGCACAGTTCTGGGTTCAACATCCACTCTCCACCAGCTCATCCAACAAGTTCCTCACCTGCTCTGTGCTTCAGTGGACTCATCTGTAAAGTGAAGACATAATGGCCCCATTTCAGAGGGTGCTGTGCGGAGTCAGGAATCGCTAGGTGTGCCACGCTTAGGAGAGTGCTTGGCCAGCACTGCCGGGCTTGGGCATGGCAGTACTGTTACCATGACCACCACCATCTTCACCGACAATGCTCCCTTGTTCCAAAACCCTAGGCAGAGGAGCAAACCCTGACTGAGCTATGGGGCATCTGGCCCTCAGATGCTTTTCCAGCAAAGCCGCAAATGGTCAGAGGTAGAGACTGGCAAGTTCAGTGACCCAGTCAGTGGTTTATCTGTGGGTAAGGTCTCTGGCGAGGCTGATTTAAGGCTTGGATTATGAAATGATTTTACGTACTCCGTATTTACATCGAATTCTAATTCAAAACTGTTCCTTTCTTTAATTTGAATTAATTTCTATGCCATCTTTATCAGCTCTTTGTGGACCCAAAAGAAAGGACACTTGTAAGTGACCAGTGGGGTGATTGCAGTGGGGTCAGATTGGGCACTTGATGCATGGCCAGGTGTTATTACTGTGACTTGTCCATATCTACACACACAAACATTTCCTCCTCCTCCAAATTCATCTCCATTTCCTTTGGAAATTCTGGTTTGCTTCCCTCTCACTTTTACTTTTTTGAATAATATTTGTCTGGACTGATGGAAAAGTTTGCAAAGTAACAACATCAAAAGTATTTGAGAAATGCCACACGGACGTATCTGGAGCGTTTTCTAGACCCCCTTACCACGCCTCCCCTTGCCGGGGATTACGCTCCCAGGTTTCTAAAAGCTGGTTGGTTCCAGGCTGAAGAGAAGGCCCACTTGCCCATGGCATGTGTGTGTGTATGTTTGTGTGTACGCAGGTGTGTGCATGAGTATGTGTGTGAGCATGCGTGCATGAATGTGTGTGTGAGTGTGTATGCATGTGAGTGAGCATGTATGTGTTAGTGTGTGAGTGTGTGCATGAATGTGTGTGTGAGTGAGCATATGTGCATGAATATGTGTATGTGCATGTGTGAGTGAGCATGTTGAGTGTATGTGTTAGTGTGTGCATGTGTGTGTGCATGAATGGTTGTGTGTGAGTGTGAGTGAGCGTGCATCTGTAGCATGCTGTTGCATCAATGGCTCGTTGCACACTGCTCTGCTCAGTAAACTGCTGATACCAAGCCTGGGTGTGGGGGAGTTCAGTGCCTATTAACAGACTGGAGATACTAAGGGAAAATTTATAATCAGTACTGATCAACCAGAGTTTTAAAATGAGTGATTTCCGCTAAAAATTGTGCTGCTTTGTAGTTTTACTTGGTAAGATGTTTTCATAGCATAAGACAACTTCAGATTACAGTTGAGAAATTCTGTACCAGCAATATCGGCCTCTGTGTGCTTGGGGAGCTGCTGTGGCATTCCCAAGGCCCGGGGAGAGGATTTGATGTTGCTTTGGGCCTGGAGAGCAGGGGGAAGCCTGCACCGGATGGAGGCAGGCCCCCCAGAGCGCTCCCCGGCTGATCTGGCCTTCCCTTCCTTGTTAAGCACAGTCCCCAGGAGCAGGCGTTCACAGGCGTGAGGGCCTCCCTCCCGTCGGGCTGTGTCGGCTCAGGGACCACTGTGTAGAAGCTGCGGAGGGAAGATTCTTTGAGGAGATGGCCATGTTGCGGGGAAACCTGGCCCATCAGTCTCACCTTAGGAAAGTCTTTGTGTCCTGCGAGGAGCTTTGTAACCGGATCTCTTGGACCGGGAGACTCCAGTGAGGGCCACACCGACTCAGAGAACTTCAGCTTCTCCTTCAGGAGAGCCTGGGTCGCAGCTGTTTTGTCATTCAAAGCCCTTCCTGGTAGGCGAGCAGGTGTTGTAGGAGGAAGGGTTCAAGCAAATCATGACCCTGGGAACGTCTTCTATATTCAAGAGCCAGGCAGAGAACTGGGGCCTCCCGAGAGGGAGCACGTTTAGAGGGATGTGGTCCTTGGACTCGCGAGGGGAGGTGGCCCGGCCTCCACAGCAGGGCTGGAGTTTCCCGGGGGAAGCGGGCCACCGTGTGGGAAGGGCTGTCCGTCAGAACCCGAGGATCTGGGCAGCTCGTTCCAGGGTGCTGGGGGAACTTTTAACACAGGCGATCCCTAACTGTTTCCCGGGGCCCTGACCTCTTTTCCCTTAATTGTCAACTAAAAAAATGCAACAGCCAACACAACAACAGCTGTCCAGTATGACTGAATCAAAATTATAGTTATTTTTTATCAGATCGGCCAAAAATATATTTTTTGGTGTGCTGCAGAATTTTAGTAATTAGTTCAAGCGTGCCACGAGATGGAAAAGGTTGAAATGTGGCTGGGTTTGGGCAAAGCAAGCAGGCTGTTACGTGGGTCGTATCAGCTCTCCAGGGAGACCCACCTGCCAGGCACTGACACCCGTACTTCAGGCTGTGCTTTCCACTTGGAGTTGCCTGCGCAGCCCTAGGGCTTTGAGTAAGAGGCGAGCCCCGTTCCCCTGGCCTTGCCCTCCGGTCCTCCTGGGGAGGCCACTGGAATTCTCTGGTGGATTCTCTCGGTCCAGAGAGGGAGACGAGGGAGACGAGGAAGACGCCTTTTCCAAAGTACCGGCTCCCGCAGGTGGGAAGAATACTTCTGATTGATCTGAGGGTCCCTCTTTGTGCTTCTAGATGTCACCCGCCTGGTGTTTGGTCCAGGACATGTTTGAGCCAGGTTACCTGCCCTGGTTGTGGGCGTATCCCCAGAGGGCCACACTTTGTTCCCAAATCGTAGGCCATAAAGTATTTTGATCTTGCTTCTACTTCAAAAGTAATTTACATGCCCGGCCCCTTGGGCTTGGCAAAAGTCGAGGGTAGTCACGTTTGGGGAAAGGAGAGTTCGGTGCTGCCCAGTCCTTCTGTGCAGAGCTGGTGCCCAGCAGTCCCTGCCCAGGGTCCCCAGCAGGACTCGGACGTGTTAAGAAAACCTTGGCAATCCTCCTAGAGGACATCTCTCCTGGGAAGAACACTCAACACTGCCTTCTCAGTTCTTCAGTGATCACATATAATGTAGGTGATTTAATGCCAAATAGCTTCCTCTCGTTAGCTAGAACTCTGTGTCAGACTTTTCCATGGGCTCAGTGTGTTCTTTTAATGTTGGGGTTTCTCAGAACTGTCACCAGGTCCCCTTCTCACCTGCTAAAATGGGTACCTGTCCAGGGCTTCAGTGACCACTTCCATATCACCCCAATCTCGACTGCCCTCCTCTTGCTGGGTCACCCTGACTGCTACATCGTCTCGCTGCCTCTGGCCTCAGCCCCTCTCCCTTCCTCCTCCTCCTACTCCCTTTGTAAGCCCCAAGCTGACTGTGCCTCTCTTCCAACGAAATTCTGGTACCGGCCACCTGGTGCGTGAGCAACGGAACTTCCGTAGTCTGATGTCCAAGCCTTCCATCAAGCCTGGGCTCGGTTCCGTTGCGGCCTCATTTCCAGCCACACTCTCCCTGTCATTCCTTCCCCCCACCCACCTGCGACTGTTAACCTGCCGGACCTTTCCAGGGCACGTGCTTCTGCCCGTCATCCTGTAGCCTGTCTGAAATGCTGGCTCCTCTGTGGCACCACCCTGCCCACCCAGCCGGAGCCAGTCTCCCCACGCACTGTGTTGTTGGGACTTAGGGTGTGTTGGCCTCCTCATTGCCACTTGACGTCTCTGTCTCCCCCAGCTGATGTCACAGGCGGGGTCTGCCTTATCTCACACAATGCCTGCTGCACCCCGGTGGTTCCGTGAAGACCAGGAATGAAGAGAGGAATCGCTGGACGAGCCTATAGGGATACCCTCTGGGCATAAGCGGATACCTGGTTTTCTGTCACAGGGTATTTGGGCAGAGCAGAGCCGCCAAACATGAATATGTTTCCTGTACACCCTCACTCGACCTTGGGGAAGGCTTATGCTAGTTAGAAAGCTACCAGCTACCGTTTCTACAAAAAGTTGGCACAATGGGTCATACGTGGAGTCAAATGCTGCCCTGGCAGAAACTGGGAAGTGATCTGGCTGCCATGGTCAACAGCGGAAGCAGGTCATTTGTAAAAGGTTCTTCAGAGCTGCAGGTGAGAGAGACTCCAGGCAGCAAAAAGACCCTGGACTTGGGCTGCTTTGCCTCTTCCCCACAGGTGGCCATTCCACAAGCATTCTCCTACATTGTGCCAAGTCTGTGCCACCTCCCGGCCGGAGAGCTGGGCCCCTCTTCAGGACCCCACGTTTGGGCGGGAGACAGACATTAACTGGTAGTCAGAATAGAATTCTTGGACCCAGTGGAGCTGCCTGGCGCCAAGGTCCCCCTCAGTCTGGTTTATGATTGTGAATGTCTGGAGGAGTCAGAATTGTTTCCGGGTCATAGATGTTATCTCAGGGGGCTGATTTGCTTGGTCTTTTCAAGCAGGTGGGGCTGGACAAAAAAATAATATAAAGGCTGACTCTGGCTGGGCTGGTAGGGGCTGCTGGTTCCCCTTGAGGAGCCCTGGCCTCAAAATTCAGCTGTGGGAGAATGTGACATCAGTGGCCAAGAGAGATGGAGATGGGCCCTCTATAGGAAGTCATGTCTAATTTTCTGGTTACACTAGACTTTGGCGGGAAAAGGGTGGGGGATTGAGTCAGGCTCACCTGACGGTGATTTTATTACCAGGTGGACTAGACAGGGAAACAGGAGGTGGGAAGAAAGGGCGGGCTGGCGTTTTCTGCATCCCCTGGGCCTGCAGAGCCACCTGGTTGGAGCCTGTGATTCCGGCCCAGCTCCAGCTCCAGCGTCCTGTCGCCTGGGTTAGGGGTGTCAGCCTCTAGGGTTTCGTGAGTGTGAGGGATCCTCTGGAGAGACAGTTGATGAGATTGCCAAAAAGTTTCAGGCCCCCAAATGTCAGGCCCCCATCGTGCTGATTTAAGGGGATTTCATACAGCAGCGTGGGCCACAGTGGCCCTGCCGGGCATTGTTTGCTGGCTGATGGGAATGGTCCACAGGCAAGTACGGATCGTTCTGGCTGGCGAGAGAGGAGCTGTGTGGGAGGAAGTCCGAAGCAGTGGATGGGCTGCCCCGGCGCAGTGGGCGTGGCTTCGGGGAAGGGACGGACTGTGATGTGGGCGGCAGAGCGCCCCGGGCAGCGTGGCCAGGGGCCATCCGAGTGCCTGGACTGGAGAGGAGGGGGGACGCTTGGCCTTCTGTTCTGTGTGTGCACGGAGACCGAGCCGTTACAACCAAGGATGCCATTGAGGCCCCCATTCCTCCAGAGCAGAGGGGAAGGTTCACCACCCTCTCAGCGTCTGAGTTGCTGAGTCCCGAAGGAAAGGGCGGGCCCTGCCTCTCAGCACAGTCCGCCAAGGCTGCTCGTCACGCAGCCGACGTTACCCATTCACAGCTGTGCACATCATTGCAGAGACCTGTGTCCTTACAGCCTGGGGGCGCCCCCAGCAGCACCCAGAGCCCCACTGCTGCTGACGTTTCGGAGACTCCCCAGTGAAGGAAGCAGTGAGCTCCTTCTGCCCCGGCACCGCTCTGTGTGTCGTCTCTGACCACATGACTGGCGCGTTAGTAGCACTAGTCTAACCCTCAGCAGCCCATCCCTCCTCGGTTTTGCCGGCCAAGAACCACGCACCATAAGAAGAAAAGCTAGAAGGCGTAGGGTATGGCATTTCTTTATTTTTATTTTATTTTATTTTTTTATCCTCACCAGAGGACATTTTTCCATCTTTTGTTCAGATAGAGTGGGAGGGGGGGAGGACGAGAGAGAAACATCGACGTGAAAGGGACACATCGAGTGGCTGCCACCCGCACGACCAACCAGGGCTGGGGACAAACTGCAACCGAGGCACATGCCCTTAGCGGGAACCGAACCCGGGTGTCTCTGGACCTCAGGACGATGCTCCAACTGCAGAGCCAAACCGGCCAGGGCAGCATTTCTTAAGTAGACCGTCCCATGAGACGTGGACACACAGGTCCTCAGAGTCGGTGCAGGGGACGCCTTTCGCCTGCTTGTTCTAGGACTGAGGTAGGGGCTGGGAGGTGGCGGCCGACGGGGTAGCGTGGGACTGAGGCACTGTGAGTGCAGGAGGGGAGGAGAGAGGTCAAGAGTGGCTCAGGTCATGGCAGTTGGGTAGGAAAATCTCACTTGATCTAAGATGCAACTTCGTGAAAACCCAAGTCAGCAGTCAGTGCCCCGCATACGTGCACCTGGAGTGGTTAACAGCAGAATAAACGTGCCTGCTCCGCTGTGGCCGACACGTCGGCCTCTCCCGCTGTGTCACAGAGCTGGGCTCTGCGGGGCTTCCTCTGGCCTGCATTTGATCACAGGTTCATGGGACCTGACACTTCAAAGCACCTTCTGTTCTGGTTTTCTTGATCTAGCACGAAGCAGACCCAGTGGTGAGCATTCTCGGCCCCTTTTTTATATTGTTCAGATCTGAACTGTTATTTCCAAAACCTGTTCTGACTTTGTAAAAACACAGTGGATTTGCAGAGTCGCTGGCCTTGCAGCGTGGAGCCTCTGAGTGCAGAGCTGCCCGGCCCCAGCTTGGACCTTGGCTTTCCTGGGGCCGGGGCCGGGAGACAGCAGGCCCTCATGTCGTGCGCTGAGCCCAAAGAGGCAAGAAATGTATGGTACATGTACATGGATCTGTAAGTCATGCTCGTGGGGATGTCGTGCCCTCAGAATTGTTGCAAGATTTGAGGGCCTGGAAAAAAAGCGAGCACTGGACAGAGTAACTGACAGGAAGAGACATTGCAGTGGGTCAGGCAAAACGGGGTTCAAGGCTCTGAGCTAGATATTGGGGTTAGGGGGGAGGTGACAGAATCCAGCATAGTCTTCCTCCTCAGAGTGGTGGACTTGCCAAGACCTCAGATTCAGTGGTCACGATGTGAGACAGATGCAGAGTCACTGAGATGGGGTAGAAGTCGGGGGATCTGAAAAGGTCTCCTCAGGGAGGAAGCATTTGATCTGACCTTGAAGGAGGAAGTGGATGTGGGCAGTAGAGTGGGGTGGGGAGGCATCAGGAGGTGGGGAAGAGCCTGGTGGTAGTTTTGATGACGGGAAAGGAGTCCTCTGAGCCTGGAGGGTCAGGAGGGAGGGAGAGAGCAAGCGCTGGGTGCGAGGAGGAGCCGCTGGTGACTTGGGGCTTCCCTTGATGACAGTGGGAGCCCTTGAGCACCTCCATCATCCATTTTCCTTTAAGACCTGCCATGGCTCCCTACGTGGGACCCCATCCCCATGACCTAGACTGAGCTGCTCTGCCCCGACCCTGTGCCTTGCACCCTGTGCACCGCGGCTTGTCCCCTGTCAGCCACGTCTGTTTCCGTTAGACCCAGAGTGCTGAGCGGACGGGGCCTGTCTCAGGCCCACCCTAGTGATTCTGGTCGGACTGGCGAGCAGTGGGGAGGGCTACTGGTTTGTTTGAAAGGCACAGAAATGAGGGCATGGGGAACGCCTGCTCGCAGTGCTCTTTAAGTGGAGAAGAGAAGGAAGCGGGGTGACTGGGGTCCCTGTGGAAGGAGTCAGAGGGGCTTGCTTTCCACCTGCATGAGAGAGTTTGGGCTTGTCACCTTGGGTGTCAGGGCAGAGTTGCCAGAAGCCTCCCTCTGTGCCGCAGATATTCTGCTCAGTTTGGTGCTGCTCAGGGCCATGGATCTGCATTGTGTGCGTGTGTGTGTGCGTGTGTGACTGTGCGTGCGTGGGCAACCCCTCTCACACATGCAGGTGCACACCCTCCTGTGTCCCTTTCCATCAGTGGGTGGCATTGTTGCCTTCCTCCAGCTCCCCCCCCCCCTCCCTGGTTGCCATGGGTGCAGCGGGGCCTCGGAAGTGTCCCCATAGGGTCCGTGTGGCGTTTCATTCATACATGCTCATCAATGTCTGCCCCTGCCTGCTCTGTCCAGGGGTATTTTAGTGACGCCTGGAATACGTTTGACTCCCTCATCGTAATCGGCAGCATTATAGACGTGGCCCTCAGCGAAGCCGACGTGAGTATGCGCCCGCCGCGGCCACCCGCCTCTTGTCCTCTGTCTGTGCACATTCCGCTCCCTGCCCGCACTGGCGTCACCTGGACAAGTCACAGATCCCAGTTTCACTCCATCTAAAACCAGGACTTTCCTAATAAGAGGTGCGGAAAAGTGGCCTTTCAAGGCAGAGCCTTATTCTGGGCCTTCTCAGACACAGACCGCCCTTGGGGGGGGCCGTTCTGCAGCGCCCAGGTCACTGGTAGGCAGGGTAAGGCAGGCGTGTCTCTCTGTGTGTCTTTCTGCGTCAACAGTGACGTTCGAGGTGATGTATCTATAACACGTTTGTTCTAGGGCGTTGTGCAAGTGGCCGGGTGGCACCTCGAATGTTCCCCTTTTATAACACTGTCCTTTTCTTCTTTTTCCTGTCGTGCCTCCTGTGGCTTCTGAATGCTTGCCCTCACAGCACTATTTCACTGATGCATGGAACACTTTTGATGCCTTAATTGTTGTTGGTAGCGTCGTTGATATTGCTATAACTGAAGTGAATGTAAGTAGCAAACTTTGTGTCCTACCATGTCATTTTTTTTTTTTTTTTTGGTTAAGTCTAATGGAGAGGAGACCAGAAACCCCCCGCCCCAGGGGTCTCTGTATGTTTTAGAAATTCCAGGCACACATTGCTTTTGGAAGACTGAGACCACTTTGTGGTCTCCCCACCCTCACCCCACTCCCTTCTCCTGGAGGAGGGTGGGGAAGTAATCGCAGCGTTACTGTTTTGGAGCTAAAACATTATTTTAATCGAATACCTTGTTAAAATGTTGAGGGTTGGGAGTCAGTTACGTGAGTGTGTGAACTTTAGCGCTCACTAGCTCTGTGGCCTTGGCATGTCACCCGACTAGGGTGTGCCTCAGTTTTTCCAGCTGTAAAATGGAGTTCGTGATGTGTGCCCTGGTGTCCACAGTGGTCTGTGAGGGTGCGGGAGGGAAACCCCACGGCTGTGCCCTGAGCATGTGGCCGCTGCTGCTGGTGTCCTCACCTGTCCCCTGTGTCTGCTGAGTCCGCTGGTGACACTGGGGAGTGACCCCATCCTAGCTCCCAAAGTGGTGATGCAGACTGGAAGCTGCCCAGGACCAGGGGAAGAGGGCTGAGTGTGAGTGCACGTCAGGGAGGGCGGAGTCAGGGAGGGCGGAGTCAGGACTCCTTGGTTGTGCTCAGTGAACTCTTTTGATGAGGGAACAAACAGCATGGTAGGTGGAATGCCCCCCTCCCCAACTTCTAGAAGCATCCTGAGAACCCCCCTTCAAAACTAAGGGGCTTGAGAAGGAGGAGCACCACCTCCTGCCAGCTCCCCTAGGGTCTGACCAATGCCTAGCCCGATGGGCCTGAGGCAGGTGGAATGGCCCTGCCCACGGGGTCTGTCCCAGTTCACCAGCAAGTCTTAGTGTGTGTCCAGTGTGTGTGCCTGGTAGTGTCAAGTCCTTCGCGGGGACGGCGGAGCATGGGCCGCGACCGCTGCGCAGTGCTGGCTTACTGCTCCACACTTGGCTGGGAAGGGGCCGCCACGCTCTGCCTGGCTGACAGCTGCAGGATTGTGGGGTCCACCCTGGTGCCCAGACAGCCTGGGTCAGCTGAGGACGATGAAATCCCTTTATGCCACCAGTTTGGGGCCAGGCTGATTCTGGAATGTGCAGTCCACAGCCTGGCCATTCTAGTCCTAGTTCAGAATGTGGTGCATCTGGGCCTCATTCTTTCTTGGATCAGCTGGGGTGAATGAAATCTCTTCTCCCTGTTGTGATAAAATGACATGAATATTTTTTGAAATACTTGCTAAAAAGCCCAGAGTGTTAGGTAGACGCAAGGGCATTACTGTAAGATTTTCCATGTAATAATAGGTGAAATGAACCTAAGACATGAGCATGTCCATGAAGGTGTGACTTGGCCTCGTAACACCCAAGTTCATGCCAGGACAGGTTACAAAAAGGGGATTTTACATCCCCTAACCTCCATAAGCCCAAACTTCTGAAAATTTCACTTCACGTGAAATATCCCATAAGTCAGCTATAAAATTGCCATTCATCACGTATAAATTATTCTTGGTTTTAAAATAATCTGATGCTAATGGGAGAATAGCGGGACCCTAACTGGGCTGCCGTGGGCTGTCTCCTGAGTTTATGAGCAGACATCTGCCTGCTTAATCATCTCATAGTGAAAAGTGCTTCTAACTTACATCAAAGTATCCTGACAGGAAGATTCCGAAACACTCATGTAAGTCAGAGGTGGCCTGTAATGGAAATGAAAATGCAACGAGCACCCTTTCAGCAGGTCTCCCCGGAGCACTCAGTGCGTAAAGCTTTGTGCAGGTATTGGCTGTAAATGCTGGGTTTCTGGGTACCAGGATGTGGCCAAGGGTGATCACTCAGGGCACGAGCCAGCGCTCCAACGTGGGCCCACCTGCTGGCCGGCGGGGTGTGGCACTGGCTCAGCAACTGCACGTGCAGGCTTCCCGCTGCCTCGCCCTGTGCTGGGCACAGGAGCCCACTGTGTCTCTCGCCTCTGGCCCGGCCTCGCTCCTCCGTGTCTCTGTTGTCCTCCGTCACCTCTCAGGAGTCAGGAAAGCCACAGGTCTACAGAAGTGCACACTAACTTTTCTAGTTAGCATTTGACACTAGGGCATCAGTACAAAGCAGACTGCCGTTGGGTCCTTTCCTGGCATTCACTCCGACTTTCAGGGTCACGCCGGTCATCGTTCCCACACTGACCTGTCAGTCCAGACGTAGCTTGAGGCCAAACCTTCCTGAGCCAGTGGCAGTCCCAGTCCTCTGCTCCGGGCCAGTCCATACCACCGTGGGGGGTCTCAGCATTTCTGTGCAAGGCCTCGGTGCAGAATGAGTGCTCCAGGCCACTTCTCATTTACTCAGTCTTTCAACAAGTGTTGATTGGACATACAGAATTCTCAGGCCCTGGGTGAAGCTTTGGGGAGGTACAGAAATCAAAGAGACCAGGTGTCCTCAGCCTCTGACGGTGCAGCTATCTGAGCAGGGCTGTTGACTCCTACACCCCTGCATCCACACATGCTGAGTTCCCTGGGGTAGCAGCCCCTATTGTGTCCCTCAGGAACTTTGTCCCCAAGCTCCTGGGTCAGCTGAGCATGAACACCCTGGGTCCAGTGTTGGCTGTTTTTAGCTGCCATAAGTCATCATTATTTGCAATATTAACTTGCTGTGCTCTCTCCCCCAACCTTTGTTGATCTTTGTTTTCTATTGCCTAATTTATTTTCATGTTGGTTTTATTTTTAGAAAATTGTAGCGGCAAGTATATATAAGCATATATACGGTGAAGTCATTAAAGCAAGAGCACTTTAAAGACTGTATACTTGTTTTTGGCTTCCCCACCTTTGGTTTTCACTGAGTTTCACAGGACGTGCTATTGGTCATGGTCATCTAAATTGTTTCCCATCCACGTTTCATGGTCTCCGGCCCGGGGCCCGAGCCGAGGCCCGCTTGGTCAGTCATGCTTGGCTCTGTAACTTGCCAGCATAATCTTCAGGAATGAAAGATCTGGCCTGGAAATGAGAACTTGAGCTTGCATTTGTTTTCTTTACAAAAACATTTTGGATGGCCCTCTCCGTGTCCTGCTTGCATGCCCACCAGCCTCTCCGTGCTGCTCGACCCCCACCCCGGCCCCGCCTGCTCTGGTCATGATTTGATAGCTCTCATGGACTGGTCTTCATCACGTTTGCTCATCACATCACCAAGCTGCTAAAATGTCAGATGATGACTGGCAGGCTCAGTTTTGCTCCCTCTTGGATGCCCGCTTGCTCTTTGGTGAAATGACCCAGCAACCTGTTCTTCCTCACCCAGCAGTGGCCGCTCTTGCCATTTTCATTATTGCTGGGTGGCAAAAGACTTGCTCGGAGGCCATGTCTGCCTTTGTATTACTTACCAAAGAGCACTCAGAAGTCAGGAGGGAACTCACCACCAGGGACCCAAGAATTGTCCTGACCTGCTGGATACCCAGTTTGGACCAAGTGGCCAAGAGCTGCAGCCAGCTGCTTATTCTGAACCCCGGTCATGTTGTTCGGTCCTCCATTCCACATGCTCCCCCTTTCCCAGGGACCAGGTTGCTGGTTTCTGGACACAGACGCAGAAAGCCCTCCCTCCCAGAGGTGCTGCATGCCGGGTCAGAGGGAGCCCCTCCCCCGGGAGACTGTGTTCTCAGGATGCCTCGGGCTCATTGGTTTGGGGATGTTGGTTTGCTCCCTGTCTGAATTGAAAAACTGCATCCTTTCCGCTTTTCCAGAAAAAGCTGGAAATGGATTCAGAACGTGCAGACTGATCCCTTTGATAGCACCTGGGAAACTCAGGGCTTGTTTGGCTTCTGCAGTTGCAGGGGTCTGACCCTGAGCCTGCCTCTCAAGAGCCTGCCTGAGAGCCCTGTGGGAAGGGGCTAGAGGGGACATCAGGAGAGCCCCAGGGATCTCAGGAGCTTTGCTGACCTGGGCATACAGTTTGGCCTCCTGAGGCTGAGGACCATGTTACTGTTGGGGTCCCAGTTGAAGATGGTGGCATCTCAGGGTTGCAAGGATGAAGCCATCTAGTCCTAGCCCTGAGATGACCCTGGAATTCCTTCTGTTGGAAACTTCCACAAGTGTCTACCGGCTGTCTTTGGAAAGCTGCCTGGGGACTGAGTCCTTTCCCGTCTCACATCCTCTGGGGCGTCCTGTGGTTGATCCCAGGAGTCCAGCAGAGTGTCCTCCTCCATTCCTGGTAAGGGAGATGGGGAGGGAGACTACTCTCTTTGCATCCAAGTACTGAACCCTCATCAACCTCGAAGAATCCACTGTTGGCTGTAAGAGCCCACGTGGGCTTTTCCAGGGGTCCCGCTCTGCACTGCCAGTTCAGACTTGGCAGCACGCTAGACTCACCTGGGAGCTTTTAAAGCGCCCAAAGCTTAGACACCCCCTCCCCAGTCAATTAAATAAGAGCCTTTGGGGTAGGACCTAGCCATCAGATTTTGTCGGAGGTCCCTTGGCAGTTCTAACGGGCCACCCAGGGTGAGAGCTGGCCTGCCCTGTGCATCAGGCTGGCATTTGTAGCTTGAGCAAAGCCATCCTCAGGGTCCATGCAATTCTTAAGATATTTTGGCAACTTGCACTGTCCCTCGTGCTGCCAGCGACCCCTCCTCTGAGCGGTCTCCTGCCCAGGGTGGCGTGTGGGGCAGGGCGGGTGCCGCTGGCCGCCCCCGGCGCATGCAGCTTGACGTGTGTGTGTTCGTTCCTTCCTTCTGCGCATGCGGTGCGGCCTGTCCCTCCACAAGTGCAGTCCCTTCTCCTCTTTGATTTTCTCCAACAAAAGAATATCCATGTTTCAAGTCCATAGCCCAGGATTTGTCATACTTCAGAGACATCAGCTGAAAGAGGGACATGCACCTTCAAAAGTCAGTTTGGTGCTAACTTGCTCGTGTCACGAGGAGGGGTGTGGTGCAAGGTGTCACACATGGAGCAGGACAGACAGCGACAAGCAGAGGGGCTGGGCCCGCGCATGTGGCCAGGAAGTGTCTTCCCCAACCACAGCCCCCTCCTTCTCTCCCAGGTCCAACTCACAGGTTATGTATGGACATTTCTAATGTACGCTGCAGAGGGCTTATGCACACTCTGGACCTGAACATAGGCAGGCAGAGGTGTACACATGCACACGCACACGCACACGCACACAACGTCCCACTCCAGCTGCATGGTGACGGAAGCCTTCCTGCACACGGGGAGATGGTGTGGGAGACAGGGAGAACCCTGGAAACCTACTTCCTTCATTTGTTAAAGTCTTAAGTTAAATTCTACCATCTGTCCCTTTCAGATGTCATTTGTTTTGCAGTGAGATGAGAGACTAGGAAAAGAAAAATAGTGACCTGGGCTTGGACTGACCCAGTGCAGGGTTCACATTCTGAGCACCCCAGGCACCCCCTTTCACCGTTTCAGAACCTGTTAGTCCTGGGCTCGTAATCACATTGCTGAATTTCAGTTGTGATGTGATGTGCCCACGTTCCTTATTTCCTATGAGTTTTGTAGAATTTTACTTTTGGTCTTAAGAGGCAGCTGTTGACAAGAGTGAGGCTTTAGAATGGAGCCATGAATTTTCCCTGCATCCCTAGGAAGAGGCCCGTCAGAGTAGTGCAGGTCCATCGGCGTGCACACATCCCTTAGCTGCACAGAGGCCGTGTGCAAAGGCTACCTGCAGCCCCCGCGTGCACACAGCAGGAGAGCCGCGTTGCTTTGTGGGTCACCTGGTAGACCAGCTGCTTCAGCAGAGGTGACCCTACCAAAGGCAAGAGAAAGGTCATTGTTTCGTGATTCTTGTCCAGCCCTCACTGTTTAACTGAAAGATGCCTCCCAATATTTGTTAGTTTGCTCACAACCTTTTTGTATTTTCTGAAGCACTTACTGAGTATCTAATTAGTGCCAGATCCCATGCTGGGCACTGAGTAGAGGTGAGGCAGGGTCCTTGCTTTCTGTGGGCTCCCAGCCTGAGGCAGGAGGCTGTGCACACTGGGGGGTGAGTGCTGTGGTCCTGCACCCTGGGGCCCAAGTGACAGGAGCCCCGCCAGACTCTGGTGAGGCAGAACTGCTGAAGCTGAGGGCCAGCGGGTCCCGAGCTGCTTCTCTCCAAGAGTCACACAGCTGAGCTTTGTCTCCCTTGACAGCAGTCTGAGCTGCCAGTTTGGGAAAACAGAGCCTCGTGCCCTGACGGACTCAGTCTGTGCAGCGCCCCAGCAGAGAGGGCGCCATGGGTCACACACTGACCAGGCATGTGGCCCCAGGAACAGAGTATGATCCAGGGGGTCTGTGGGCCACAGGCAGCCACCGCTCTTTGCCCGTTCGGTGGAGCCATTCTGCTCTTCGGAGTCTGCCGAGCAGCGAGCTGCTGAGACCCACCGCCTGATGCACAAAGCCCAGTCCCCGGAAGAAGCAGAGAGAGGCCCATTCCGCACTCCGCCTGCAGGGACAGCTCAGGTCTCGCAGCATGATCTTCCTTGGGGGTCTGTCCACCTCGGAACCCCACATCCTAGGATGTGATTTAGAAAGTAGTGTATCTGAGCCTGTGTCCATGGCTGCCCACCCTCACGTCCAGTTCCAAGCAGTGTCCCTGGCATTGTCTCAGGGAGGGAGCAGGTGTGTCCTCTTAAGACATTAACCACACTTTTTTAAAAGGGGGGAGGGAGGACCTCCTGAGCCACTGCTTCCTTCTCAATTCATTAATATATGTTCAATCTTTGATTTCTTAAAGCCAACTGAAAGTGAAAATGTCCCTGTCCCAACCGCTACACCTGGGGTAAGATCAGTGACTAGTCCCCAGGGGCTGGGCCTTTTCCTCGAGTTGATTTGACCATGTCGAGTTTTCCACTAGTGTTTCTGTATCTCCATGATTGTTCCTCCAGAACGGTGTCTGCAGTGGTTTGCATCCATCATCAGTGTCCAGTACTCTTGACCAGCCCAGCGTTCACTCTTAATACACTAGACCACGTGGACATGCATGTGCTGTGTGGACGCAGATTTCCAAGCCCTGTGTTGTTAGCATGTAACTTTTCCTTTCATATCATGCTTTTTAAGGTGAAAAGGCCCTAGAAACACATCTTCAATTCTTACCTCTGTCACCTGTGTTTGCATCTGTTGCTGTTTTTCTGAAAGTGTTGCATGTTCTACTTTCCATTGGGTTTGACCTCTCCATGATAACCCTTCAGAACTCTGAAGAGAGCAATAGAATCTCCATCACCTTTTTCCGTCTTTTCCGAGTGATGCGATTGGTGAAGCTTCTCAGCAGGGGGGAAGGCATCCGGACATTGCTGTGGACGTTTATTAAGTCCTTTCAGGTAAGAACCATGTCACAATGTTCTCCCTGTCTTTGAAGACCCTGCGTGAGTCCATGATCAATCCAGACTCTCTCCTGCAGGACCACTGTGACCACCAAGGTCACATGAACACCTAAGTCAATAATGTGGAATGCCAGAAAGACCTGGCCTTGCATCACTTGGGTAGAGGGAGTAGGATTACCCCCTTAAAGGAAACAGAAACGAAGGCGGAGCGAGCTGGGGCCGAGAGCGCTGCAGCATTTCCAAGTCTGGCCGAGCTGTGGGGCCGTAACCCTCCGTCCGCTCGTCCCCAGGGAGAGTGGTACCTGGTGCCATCTGAGAGCGTGCTGGGTCCCAGGAGACCCTCAGAAGCCCGACCGCCTCTCGCTAGGATGGCTGCTCCTCAACAGTCCTACCTGTCAGCTAGTCTAGTTACGAATTGGGGACCATTCCCCCGGGCCAGCACATCGTCCCCCGTGCCTGGGTTAGCCAGTGCCTGGAAGGATGACGGAGTTGAGGACATTTAGGCATGAGCCAGGTCTCATCTGTCATTTGGGACTCTTCAGGCTGGTGCAGCCTGGTTCTAGTCTAGTCCTTGAACTTGGCTTCTCCTGTGCCTTCCAGTGCCCCACCCAGATACTCGAGTCTTGTGGACTGAATCCATGGGGGGAGCGTGCAGATGCTTCTTGGAAAGGTACCCCCATGCAGGGAGTTCGTGGATATGCACGAGCATTGGAAAACAAATAATGCCTCTTTATTTCTTTATTATTTGACGGTTTCAAAAGTCATAAACGTTCCCATAAACAAGTGAAGCCATCCAAAGCCATATAAAGAGAAAGTTCAAGCAGCCCCGCCCAGAGGTGAGCAGAGTTAACATCCCAGGAAGTGCTCCCCGCCGTGGGCAGGTTCTAAGCTGAAGAGAAGGGGTGACGTCTGGGGAAGAGGTGAGAGCCAGAAACTCAGAGAAGGAAAGTCACAAGTCCTGATGGGAAATGGAGGAGGAACAGGGAAGAGGCGGGCGGAGCGGGCCAGGGGCAGGCAGGCCTTGATGCGGGATGAAGTCCCAGGCGGAATTAACCGAAAGTACCACAGTCTGTGAATGAGCTGCTGTGAAAATACAGTGAATTCACGTAATAATGTAATTGTCACTCACTTTTCAAGAAATTGCTGAACTTTTTATGATTTATTTATTTTATATGGTTTTTTTTTGTTTTGTTTTATCCTCGCCCAAGGATATTTTTCTATTTATCTTCAGTTAGAGTGGGATGGAGGGAGAGAGGGAGGGAGAGACAGACAGAGAAACATCGATTCGAGAGAGAGACATTGACTGGTTGCCTCCTGCACGACCCAACCAAGGCCTGGGACCAACTGCAACCAAGGTGTGTGCCCTTGTCGGGAATCAGACCCGTGACTCATTGATCTGTGGGATGATGCTCTAACCACTTAGCCACACCTGCCAGGGCTATTTTATATGTTTTTATTGGTTTTTTTTTAGAGGGACAGAGAGAGAAACATGGATGTGAGAGAGAAACATCAACCGGCTGCCTCCTGCACGCCCCGCATTTGGGATCAAGCCTGCAACCTGGGCATGTGCCCCAACTGGAATCAAACCAGGACCCCTCAGTCCATGGGATGTCGCTCAATCCACTGAGCCACACTGGCTGGGCAAAATTGCTTAATTTTAAAAATAAATTCATGTCATGAAGTAGTGGTTCATAAAAACTGAGAACGGTACTAACAAAATTCTTAAATATTTCATAAACCAGGAAGAAAATGCAAATAGATATAGTAAGAAAAGCCTGAAACTAACCCTGTGGGACCAACGGGTCCAGCGTCAGGACGGTGCTACTGCACTGGGCCGACGGCTGTCACGGCCCGGAGCTGGCCCACGTCAGAACCCGTTTTAGCCTCGGGCTTTCTTCTGACGACCTTTAGTGGATGGGAGAGGAAGCGGGTGCTTTAAGCCTGTGTGCCTGGCACTGGCTTTCGTGATCTGGGTACTCCCTGGAGGGGTGCGGTGAACATGGACCCCTGTCCCTTGAGATGGGGTAAGGAAGCAGTTGAACACTGGGTCAAAGGCCCGGCCCGACCTGACATGTGCTTGTGTCTGGTGTTCGTAAGGAGAGCTCCGGCTGGGCGACCACCCGGCTAGCTCCTTTTCTTCCCTGGCCCAACCCCCAAATCTGTGATTCTTTCAGAAAGTGCATTTTAAGAAGAGTCTCTTGCTTTCTACAGTGACAGCAGAAAGTGGTTCTTTCCCTCTGATCCAGTAATCCCACTCCTAAGACTTCACTTTAGGAATAAATACTTCAGCAGATGGCCAGGTGATTTTGCATAAAGATGTTCCTTGAGGAGGTGAACTGCAATGACCCCCTGCCCCCCGCCATCCCACAAAGGAACTCAGAAGCCATCCCAGTGTCCGTGTTCTGGGATGGTTTTGATCCGTTGTGGGTATTTTCAGGAACGATTCCAATGACGAATTGAAACATTATTATGAGAGTGATGTGTCTGTGTCACCACTGTGTAAGGTTAGGGTAGCCAGTGACGGTGGGAAGCCATCCTGCCCGAAGCTCGGTAACACTAGGTGTGCACGTGGCTAGAGTACTCTGGACAGCAGTTTAAAGAGCTCTTCCTCTCTGCTGATGTTCTTTCGATACAACACGGAGGAGAAGAGCAGGTGGCCCTGTGTGGGTCTTCCGTCTGTGCGTCTGTGCGCGAGCAGCCGCGGGGCGAGAGGCCCGCGCCGAGCCCCGTGTCCCTCTCTTCCAGGCGCTCCCGTATGTCGCCCTCCTCATAGCCATGCTGTTCTTCATCTACGCGGTGATCGGCATGCAGGTACGCTCCGGCTCCCTTGGGGCCCCGTTTGCTGGCCAGCCCCAAATCTGTGGCGAGGTGTACCTTCACCAGGTGCAATGGAAAGACCAGGTCATGATTTTGCAGCCAACGCCGCAGCTGCTTAAGAGGAATGGAGATGAGAAAGGTGTGGCCCCAAAGGCGAGAGCCTGTGTCGGAGAGAGCCAGGCTCAGAGAGCCAGGAGGGGCTGGAATAAACCACAGAAAGCTGGGGTTGGTGGTGCTCCTCGCCCCCCGAGTCTTGGGAGAGTCGAGTGATTGAGAAAACCCATAGTTGGTTTTAGCCACAGGAAATGCCATACTGAAAGAAGCCACAATTGTCCTATATAAGCACCCACGTTACTAAGAAGAGGTTTAGTCATATAAAAGTCTGTTTATATTCGGAAAAATTGTTTTATTGTAACCAAGTGAGAGTCTCACTTGAAACATAGTACTTCCTGATGCTATGGCAAACCTGACCTGGGATCATTGCCTTGCCTCAGTAGTACCCCCGAGAAGAAGCATGACACCAGGTTTCTGTGACCCTGGCTAGGGGGCTGCAGGATATTCGCCAGCTCCCCCTGGGTGGGGAACAGGACAGGGGCTTCATTAACAGCAGCTCTGACAGGAAGCAGCAGCTGCAGAGGGCGGAGCCTCCAGGAGGAGAGGGAGGTGGAGAGCCTGGACCTCCCTGGGTGGTCCCTCTGCCGTGTTCTCTGAAGGCTCACATAGATGCCCTCTTTCAGATAAGGGAGGGACATGAGTGTAAAGAGATGGGCGATTCCCAAGGCAGAGAAGGGGTCATGCTTATTCTATTCTGAAGGCATAGAAGGATTCGTAGGTCGCCAGGAATCCCACCAGGAGTTATGAACCGAGAATCAACCCGCTTGAGCCCCTGTCATTCAGCAGCATGTGGTGCTGTATGCCCCGAAAGGTCCTTGATGACAGGACCTTTCACACTGACCCAGAAAACTGCAAACTGTGTCGCATGTACCGCCAGCTCACGCAGAGGCTCAGCCTGGCGTCCAGTTAGTCTCACATGTCACTCTGCTCCGATAAGTCCCATGAGCACTTCCTAACTTCCTCTTACGTGGAGGTAGCGCCCACCCTGCTCTCCGCGCCCACTGGCCCCGCACCTGTCTGCAGCCTGACCGTTGCCTGTGCACACTCGCGCTCTCACGTTCCGGTGCACCTCTGTGGCCTCATTGCTGGCCTTGCTCTCACGGCCGGCAGCCTCCCTGTCCCAGGCCCCCGGCCTTGGCTCGTGAGCCTCTGCTGCCCCGTCCAGCTGGACTGTCCCAGCTCTGGTCGAAGGTAGGAGCTCCTCGAGGGGAGATGTGCCTGCCGCCCCTGTGGCTGTGGCCCGTGGTTAGCACAGGTCCCGCTCATCCTTGTGAGTCAGTGAAGTACCAGGCACTGTGGGGAAGCCCTGCGGGTGTGGAGTGAACTCGAGTCAGTTCTAAATTCACTGTGGAGGGTTTCTTTCTTCTTTTTTTAATGACAAAACTCTATTCTTTTTTCCCCTAATTTCTCCACCTAGATGTTTGGGAAAGTTGCCATGAGAGATAACAACCAGATCAACCGGAACAACAATTTCCAGACCTTTCCTCAGGCAGTGTTGCTGCTCTTCAGGTGATGGACCCTGCCGGATGTGTGTCTGTAGCCTTGGGCTCCAGAGCGATGGGGACACGCGGTGTCAGCACGGCCATTCCCAGCGGATCCTGGCAGCTTTCTGTATTTGTTTTGTATTCTTGAACAGACATGAGCATCTCCCTCAGACAGGGATTTTGCTGGCCTGTTGAAGCTGCTGTCGTTCCGATTGTGGCTGGCTTGAGGTTCAGTTTTTGGGGAGTTAGTGGGTCTGCTAAAGCTACCAGGAAACTCGCAGGAGAGACGCTTAGGCGTGGGAGCACGCCCTGAAACACCAGAAACACGGAAGCGTTGCAGGAACACAGGGCCTTTGCACTGCTGATGGGGGCATCCTAAAATGTGGAATATAAAATGTAATGGGACCCTTTTTAACCCCAGTTAACTAACTTTGTCACCAAGGATGTCTCAAAGTGAGAGAACTTTCTAGAAATTATACAAGTAATTGGTAACGATCCTAGGGCCTGGAGAAGTCATGTGCAAGTGAGGTAGTTTCCAGTTCTTGGCTTTCAACGAAATCGAACGGGGTCCAATCAAGTTGTCTGATGTTAAATCATTAAAAGATAACAACTGATAAGAATTTTAACATAAGGATTTAAAGAAGAGAAGGTACAAAAATAAACACGTTTTTACAAAAAGAATTGATGTGCTTATACAGATTGATATGAATCAAAGGTAGTGGTAGCGGGGCCTCCGCTGTCTGAGATAAATTGCATTTGAAAATAAGGAGGCATTTTCTGTGGTCACTCCTTCAAACTGGCTTTTCGACAAACTCCTTAGGTTTTGCTCCAATGAAAAAACTTGTTTCTTAAAATGGTTTAGCGGTCTAAGCCTCAAATCCCTTCCCCCCCGCTAACACCCTCTCTTCACTTACTCTGAGCAGGTGTGCGACAGGGGAGGCCTGGCAGGAGATCATGCTGGCCTGCCTGCCGGGGAAGCTGTGTGACCCCGAGTCGGACTACAGCCCCGGGGAGGAGTACTCCTGCGGGAGCAACTTCGCCATCGTGTACTTCATCAGCTTCTACATGCTCTGCGCCTTCCTGGTACGTGACCGGAGGAGCCCCTGTGCACTGGCTGCTGCGTGGGCAGCATTTGAATTCGGGCCAGCGATGTTACCCCGTCAACCTCCTGTGGGGCGTTTCGTGCCGATGAGCACCCTGGACTCTACTTGGGAGTCTCAGCAGGGGTTTTGCCTCATCATCACGTGTCAGCACCTTGGCTGCAAGCAGGACTTAGGTGCTGCTTAGCCAAAGGCTCGGGGCAGTCACTACCCCAGCTTCTTGGGGCTGCTCGTTTCTTTATAAGAATGTTAAAGCCAATACACACAGCAGTGACTTAAGAGTGAGTTATTTGGTAGCGCTGAAATTATAACGCTGTAGTGTGCTTCAAACGTGCAGAAGGTTCACTCCCCTGCCCTCCCTCGGACTCGACCACAGCCATCTCGGAAAGCTCGCGCCCTGCATGTTCCTTAACTGTTCCCCAGAAGAAAAGTTTTCGGCAGACTCCCTGGAGAAACGGGCTCAGATGTGTCGTGCCCGTCGCGAGGAAGCACTCACTGGGGGCCAGCCCGATTCCTGCCCCTGCGGCTGATGCCTTCTCCTCCTGCTTTGCTTTCACAGATCATCAACCTGTTTGTGGCTGTCATCATGGATAACTTTGATTATCTGACCCGGGACTGGTCCATTCTGGGACCTCACCATTTAGACGAATTCAAAAGGATATGGTCAGAATACGATCCCGAGGCAAAGTAGGTTGGAAAGGATCCATCTGGCGTGTGGGCTGTGTTTCCGCGGACGGCGGGGTGGACTGGAAGCTCAGGCCACACGCTGCCCAGGCCTCACGCTCGCTTTGTCTCCAGGGGAAGGATCAAGCACCTGGACGTGGTCACCCTCCTCCGCCGCATCCAGCCTCCCCTGGGGTTTGGGAAGTTATGCCCACACAGAGTGGCCTGTAAGGTAAGCGTCTTGTGTGGGTGTCTGACAGCTTCTCTGGAAGGACTTCCTGGTTCGTTAAAATGACACTAATGACCTTCTGTCAACCCTGCCAGGCGGAGGATGTGGAGATGAGTAATAGCGGCCCCTGTGTGAGGAGCTGTCAGAAGGGTAACTCTCAGGAGCTCCTGTCAGCCGGCACTAGGAATAGGAAGGGAGCGAAGACATTTGTCACTGGGTGAATGGAGGAGAAGGTGACATTTGCGTCAGGTCCAGAAGGAGAGACGGGGGTTTGTCAGAGTGGAAGGAAGCACAGAGCCCAGCGCGGGGCAGGAGGATGGGTGTCCTGTGGGCAAGCGGGGAGTCACCGGTGCGGCCAGGCCAGCCGGGAAGTGGCAGAGAGCCACAGGCACAAACAGCGAGGCGCCCCCCATGCCGCACCGAGTTCCAAGGAAGAGACACAAGTGCACCTCCATGTTAGACAGGAGAAGCCTCCAGGGACGGGGGACACCCGGGAGCTGCTGGAGTGGTCCGAGTGCGAAGTGACCAGAGCCACAGCAAGGGCGGCGGGAGTGGGGACGGAGAGGAGGGGGTGGCTGAAACTCCACTTAGGAGGTCGAGGGGAGAAGTTGGCCCCAGGCATTTCTAGCGTGTGCCCTGGTGGCGGCGTCTGTGCCTCCTCTCCGGGTGGGCACAGCAGTGGCCCATCATGGATGATCCAGACCTCCCACCCCATCTCTGAGCCCCCATCAGACCGTGCTCTCTGTGAGCCCTCGCTGGGGTGTGTGTTGCCCGACAGAGCTCACAGTGACTCACCTGGAGAAACGCCCCTGTCGAACAGAGAAAGGCAAGGTCTGCCTGCCGGAAGTCACCCGGTGGCCGTCCTGCCACCTGCGCCAGGACTGCTGGCAGGCTCAGACGGACCCACGGACACAGAGTCGTCTACGTGTTTCAGGCTTTCAGAGAACTTGTCTAAACCAAACTCATTGTTCTCCGCCCTGAAAGTCCAGGAAGCCCCTCGGCAAGTCCTTGGGGTCCTTGCCCATGTCTTTGCTTCTCCTCTGTCTGGACACTCTGGGATGGCAGTTGATTTTTTTTTTTTTTTATTTTACCCAAGGACATTTTTGCATTTATCTTCAGGTAGAGCAGGAGGAAGAGAGAGAGAGAGAGAGAAACATCGATGTGAGAGAGACACATTGACTGGTTGCCACCTACATGACTCCAACCGGGGCTGGGGATGAACTGCAACCGAGGTACGTGCCCCTAGAGGGAACCGAACCCGGAACACTCTGGACCTCAGGCCGGTGCTCTAACCGCTGAGCCACACCGCCAGGCAGCAGTTGATTTTTTTCATAGATTTCCCAGTACCAGGCTCTTCTGCTCTCCAAAAGCAGGACGGGTTCCCGCTCGTAGCTGTTGTCTCGATTGCATTCCCAGACCCTTTGACATAAAGCACCTAAGTGTCCCCGATGCACAAAGTAGTCTGTTTGGGTGGCTCAGCAACTTGCCGGGAAAAGTGCCTGGTGTTGGAGACGGTGGGTGGGAATAGCACTGGGACCTAGTGGGACTGCATCACACAAACACGGATTTCCAGTCCACGAACACAGGAGAAACGACGTTTTATGTTTCCTTTGGGACACCCTATCAGCCCAAAACCAAGAAACTGGAAACGGCTAACAGTTGTAATTACCACTCATTTAGTATTTACCTGGTTCCAGGTGCTGGGCTGAAATGTGTGTCCGTGATCTTCGATCCTTGCACACCCCTCTGGTGTGAGCATGTCATCTGTTTCTACAGATGAAGTCACGGGGCTCAGAGAGGGTGTTGTCACCAGTCCTGCCCAGCTCTGTGCTGGGTCAGAGGGACCAGCAGGGACGAGAGAAGTGGGACGTGGGGATCCTGCTCTGAACGACAGACAGCTGGAGAAGCCACGCGCACTCCACAAGGTCGCACCAGGACACTCCCGTGTTAGGGTTTGTCACAGAGCCGGGGTTAGAGGACCCGAGCCCTGTGCCCTGTGTCTCTGGCACATTTCACTCTCACAACAGCCTGAACAATGTGCCCAGAACAGAGGCCTGACCCCAGGGCACCGGGAGAGTTGGTTAAAGAGAAAGAGAGAACAATGTTGAAACAGTGAAATGATTAAACAGTCATGGTGAAACACAAAACAGAACACACCACCTGAGGGCCAGCTTGTCGTTTCAGAGTCCCCCAGCTGGTAGGTGCTCCTCAAATGGCTGTTGAATGAAATTGAGGGCTGACTAGGAGAAACAATGAATGTGGAGAAGAGCTACGGCTGTCATCAGCCATTCACATTCTAGTGAGAGACTTTTCTTTCTGTTTGCAGAGACTAGTTGCCATGAACATGCCTCTCAACAGCGATGGGACGGTCATGTTCAATGCAACCCTGTTTGCTTTGGTTCGAACAGCTCTTAAAATCAAGACCGAAGGTGAGCATCCCCTGGGAGCAGGTCAGGAGGAGATGCCCCTCCCACCTGTATTTCCCTTCTGGGCCCTTGTCAGGGGAGGCCCTGGAAAGGGTGTGGTGAGTGTGGTGAGAGCACGTGCTGGTGGACGCATGCTGCCCCCCCCGCCCCGGTCCCTTCTTTCTGTATGCTTCACTTTGTCCCAGAGAGTTTTGAGGTGACCACGCCACGACTTACTGCAGAGTGGGGGAAAGACAGAACTGTCACCCACGAGTTCACTCCAGCTGTCCTTACTACTGTGTGACCTTCCGCGAGGGGTTCCGTTGTTGTGCGCTGTCGTTTGTTTCTCTGTGGGAGGGAGGTGAACACACCGCGTCAGGGGGGTCCTGGGGGTAAGATGCCATGCTGTCTGCAGAAGCCCCTCCGCAGTGCTGGCACACAGCGGGCACGAGGGACCTACTACTGCGTCCAGGGGCTTCCCAGCTGGGACCAGGAGGTGAAGAGGCAGACACTGGGAGGGAGGGTGGGAAGAGGGGCCAGCGAGGGATGGAGTCAGTGGACAGCTGTTTTCCCACCATCCCAGAGCTCAGGGAGACTGTCCAGCAAAGCCAGTGCCCGGCAGCTAACGTATCCCTCGCAGTGTCCTCTCCCTGGCCCCACCGGCCTCAGTGAGGGACGAGGAGGCAGGATGGCTTTTCTGTACTGACATGTTAGTCAAGGAGACAAACATCAGCCCGTCTGATAACAGACCAAGTTGCGGTGGGTGCTGCAGACGAGTACACACTGTGGGAATCGAGAGAGTTTTATTTGGGTGAAATTTAGTCTGGGTCTTCAAGGATGGAGGCAGGACCTGGCATTCTAGGCTGGGAGCAGCGGGAACAGTATAGGGGTGGGCTCGGGAGGGTAGGAGATGAACTGCGGAGTAAAACATGGTTGTTCCCACCGTAGAGTGAGTGACTATTTGCTGCCATAGGAAGCGTGAATGACCCTGTCGGGGAGAGTCTGCTGGGAGGGGTGCCCCCTCCAGGGCTGCGCACCCGTCCAGGTCAGGCTGGGGGCAGGGCAGCAGTGGTCAGGACAGAGGACTTGCTGGCTGGAGAAGCATGCATTGGGTTCTCCTCTGCTCTTGGAATCCAGGGAACCTGGAACAAGCTAATGAAGAACTCCGAGCTGTAATCAAGAAGATCTGGAAGAAAACCAGCATGAAGCTACTTGACCAAGTTGTCCCTCCAGCTGGGGGTCAGTGTAATCTATTTCCTAAGTAGTCCTTGGCCAACACATTGGTTTCAGTGATAGGGTCTGCAGCCAGCCCAGACGGCAGGATGCTTGGTGTGTCCGCTAGACCTTCGAGGACCCCAACCCGAGAAGGCCCTTTGGCCACCTGGTGTAATTATGCAGGGTAATCTGAAGACCGTTCCAAAGGGAGGCTTCAGTGGGAAGGAAACCAGACCACGATGGCTGGCATGGGGCGTGGGTTCTCTTGTTGGTGGAGGAGTTGATGTTAGAAAACAAGCTTGCCAAGCCTCAGAACAAAAAAAACCTGGACGTTTTGGTCCAAAATGAACCATTTAAAACTTGTTTCCATTCATCCTTCAACCTATTGTTGAAAGCTTCTCACAGAGAAATTGATAGCTGTCGAAAATGGTATTTTCCAAATGTTCTTGTCAAGACTGAGTTGGCTACCATAACTACCAGCAATGTCCCTTTAATTAGAATTTAGAGTAGGGACAGGACTAACAGGCATGCTTCTGTCCTTTCGTTATTTATCATAAAATAACTGACTAAACTTTTTCAGATTTACACATATATATATATGACATATATATATAATTTATACACTGTTTCTCCATTTTTGTTTAAGTGCACATGGACTTAGAAGTTGAGGTGGTTGTCTTTCAACTGTTTTATTTTCAAGTTTTAAAGGTGCAGAGTCCGTCTCCTCGGTGTCATCACACAGCAGTCTAGCGTCCCTAACCCTGGGCATGTGATAAGCGTTTGGTGTATTTTGTAACCAACCAAACCTTCATAGTGTCACTGCCTCTGCAGCATTTGAAATTGGTCTGGCTCTGGTCTGGACGCTGGCTCCGGAACCCCCGGCCAGGATGGTGGCTGGTGCCTCTCCCTCTGAGAAGCGACAGCCTCCAGGGCCAGAGGGAGCAGCATGCCGGCCAGCTCTGCTCCAGGGTGAAGCGAGAAGCAGTACGTGTGTTTCTGGCTGCAGGGAGCCCCCATAGCCAGCACGGCCACTGGCCCAAAGCCGGGAAGATGGCCCGCAAAGAAATGATGATAAAGGGAAAGCAAAAAAGTCCCCCAAACCAAAAGAACGAAACCCCAAACTCCCACCCAGAGAACCCTGGCTGTCCACTGGAGAACCGATGCTGCATGTTTAAAACGACTCTTTGGTTTCGTCCTTTCCTTTATAGCTGCACACCCGAGTGCTCGCATGGCTTAGACTAATCGCTTTAAAAATCTCGTCATAACAATGTGCTTGAGCTTTTCCTGCAGCCTCCATTCCTTTCGACTCTCAGTCTTTCAGAATATTCTGAAGCAATTCTGTTTTAGGGTGGTGGCATGGAATCAGAGTTATCTCTTGCCAGCTGTATTCCCCTACGACATTTCTCGAACCACAGATGCATGCTTCAGAATAGCGGCTGCGCCTGCCCAGGGAGCCGGCCCTGCCCGGAGCCCGCCCCTGCCTGCGCCGCCGCGCCCCTCGGACATGCCCCTTCAGTGCAGGCTGGTCTCACTCACACGTCAGGGCCCATCCTGCTGCACTCACTTGGACAGCATTCTGCGAAACTTCATTTCTTTGCACTTGACCAGGAAAATGTCCAGAACTTGGCTCATCATCTGAGCTCCCTTCCTTCGAAAACCAGCTTGACCAGACTTCTGAGAAAGGCCACACATTCTTCCACCTTCCTGGCCCAACGACGGGCCCTGGTTTTCCCTCCGTATCCCTGGAAGTGGATTGGGGTTTAGGATGATGTGTTCCTCTATTTCGAAATGTCATCCGGTGGCACTGGGAGACCAAGAGGAAGGAGAGGGGCCTCAGGGGGAGATGGAACGGCCCAGCAGTGCCCTGTGTGTGGGCCTAGGAAGGCGCTCGTCAGCGTGACTCAGATGGGTGCTATTGCCCTGGTGTCTGGCTGCGGTGAGCAGACCCTGAGTGAGTTGCTGGGCAGTGGCTTAGCTTCTGTCTTTCTGTTTTTGACGCTCTCACCTTCCAGTCGGCCAGTGGTTTCCAGCTTCTCACATGATGGCCTACTTAGAAATGACAGTGTCCGTACAGCCCTCTAGGCCAGCACGTGGGCAGCTCCCCCGGCCGAGGGCTCGGCGTCCCCCTACTGTCACCTCCTCGAGAGCAGCAGCCGGAGCCAGGCCAGCTGTCCCGATGCCCAGGGCTGGCCCATGTACGGGGGCCAGGAGGCCCTTACAGACCTGGTGGCAGAGTAGGTGCCCATCTTAGGAGGTGTTGCTGGCACAGGTGTGATGTGAGGCAGCCCCGAGTTGTCATGAGCTTGATGATAGAGACACTCAGGACTGAGCCCTGGAATGTGGGTTGGGGTTCTCTTCTGCAGGGGTCTGTGGCCTCCACCGAAAGGCTGAGGTGTCTCACTGCCCATCTCTGGCCCTCGCTCGTGTTCTCACCTCCTTTCGGTCCTGTTGCATCATTTCATGGATCCTCCCCCCTTCTTTAGACGTTCCCTCTCCTCGCCTTTGGGCCTTTGCTCCTTGACCTGGCTCTTTGGCTCCTTTGCCCTGAAGAGTGGTTAGAGCTGACCCACCCCTTCCTCTCCAGCCCTGAGCCCAGGCAGCCTCACTGTATTCATTGCTTCTCGTCCTTCCCTTTCTGTCCAGCTACAGCTTTCACTTCTGTTTTTAAGAACTCTTTCTGGGCTCAGTCTCAGCTAGCTCAACGTCTCAGCGGAGCCGAGGGTCCTTGATCCCGCCCTGCAGAGCCCTGGTGGCGGTGTCTCTGTTCTGGAGTGGCCCCTCTGGGAGAAGCCTGGCCAGCCCTCCGTACTGAGTGTGTGCCCCCCAGGCTCTGGGCCAGGAGAGCCAGACCCTCCTACAGGAGCCCTGGCCCTCCAGGCTAGCACAGTCCAGGCTGAAGGCTGGGAAGGGCAGTCCCACTGTCAATGAGGTGGGCTTTCTCTAGGTAGAGGGGTGTTTTTTCTGGATTGAAGAAGCTGCTGGAGCACAGCAAGTGGAGAATCCCCTGGGTCCCCAGATTCTTTGGTCTGCAAGCCGACGCTCTAACCTCTGAGCCAAGCCAGCCAGGGTGGTCCCTGGATTCTCGACAGAGTCAGCAGTCAGTCCACCTCCCGGTTGCAGCCCAGTAGAGAAAGAGAGCCTTGTACTCTGGGAGAGGCAGCCCATGTGGCAGCCGGTGTGGCAGCAGGTAGACATCGCTCCGGGAGGTGGTGCGGAGGGGGAGGAGAGCCGGGCTGGGGTGCTCATGTCCCAACTCGAGTGGCCTGAGGCAAGTCCTTTAACCTCTCTCACCTGTCAAAGAGAGTGAGCAGATCCCATGTCTCCGAGTTGTACTTGAAAAGGCCATGTGACCTGTGTAGAACTCCTGACCCAGGGCCTGGCACCTGTAGATGCCCAATAGCAGGGGTAGCAGGAACGGGTGTCTGAACATCCGAGAAAAACAGTGAGCAGCTTGAGAGCAAAGGTTGAAATGTCAAGACCTGGATGGTCGCTCTTCACCTCTCACCTCCCTGCCCACGAGTGCATCATGAGACCAGCCTGAGACAGGTGAGGGACCGTGGTTTCACGTGCTACACAAGCCTTAGGTTCACTTTGGTGGCCCCTACACCATTCCAGGACTTGCCCCTTGGTTTCGGAAGGAATGCATCATGTTCTCAAAGCCAGACCACTTCAAGCATCTTCTCTTGACCAGGATGGCCCAGTAGTGTCCAGACAGAGACACCTGCCACATGGGCACTAAATGAACCCCACCAGGGTACATTATGGAATACATTGGGCCTCAGTGTCCCCCAACCTGAGTACTCTATAATCCATTTCAATGAGTGCCACTGTCGGTGGGCTGCACAATAATAGTGACTGGTGGCCCACAGTCATCCAGCCCCCAGACTGAGCACCACACAAGCAGGGGCCTGAGTACTGCACATGCCTGTTCTCCTGTGCTCCTCACAGCTCCTCTACCAGGCCCCCTTTACACACAAGAGCACAAGCCCATAGGGGTTGAGCCCCTCACCCCAGATCACACGTAACTCTTACAAGGGTGGCCTGGCCAAAAGTTTAGGTGTGCTAAAGCCTGAGGGCCAGCAACCATTCCACCTCCCAGCCTCTGCAAATCACACTCAGCAGTCCGTGGCCCCGTGTGGGGTGGGCTCGAGCTTCCCGCCCAGGAGCCTTCGGCCCACTGCTGATCTGGTGGGGAGCAGGGCTGTGGAGACCCCTGGGGCACACTCACACTGCCAAGATGGTTCACCATCAGACAGCCGGAGCCTCTATTCTGCCTCATGCATCGCCTGTAAAAAGCTCAGCAGAGTTCCAGTTTCCAACGAGCTGTGTTGGCTTGTTTCTGAACAAAGCAGAAGTAAGTCAGCTCAACCATGAGGTTAGAGGCACTGTCACATTCAGTGCCCCCTCCCCCCAAAAATACACCAAGCAGTTCTGAATTACAAACCAAGAACTGGCATATGGAGGCTATTGGCAGAGAGTCAAGGGGCACATGAAAATCTGGGTTTGCAGTCACTTTATTAAACCTTTCTTTTCTTCCGAGCTTGTCTGTCACCTTTCTGAGGTCTCTATTTTTATCTCCAGGCATAGGGATTTGGATGGTTAATTGCCCTTGGTGTTCATGGTAATTACACATGAAATCCCTGTGCACGGGGTGAAAATATGACCTGTGAAGCCTTTTTTGTTCTGTAATTTTTATTTTAAGTAAATAACCAAGACAGCACTTGATAATGTTACTAATATGCTGCTGTATTAAAACTCATGACAAATGTTATTTTCTGCAATTTTGAGTCTCAGTTTATCTAACTGACTCTAATTTTGAGCTTTAACTGCTTTGCCAGACCTTGCTTTCTGCTAGAGCCAGTCTCCCTCCTGTGTTGTAAGCGGAGCTCAGTGCCTCTGCGCTGCCCCCCGCCCCAGCCAGAAGCCAGTGTGTAGGCTCTTGGTGCAAACGTGCTGATTCGGGAGAGCTGTGTCTGGTCTCTCCGTTTAGATGATGAGGTAACCGTGGGGAAGTTCTATGCCACTTTCCTGATACAGGACTACTTTAGGAAATTCAAGAAACGGAAAGAACAAGGACTGGTGGGAAAATACCCCGCGAAGAACACCACAATTGCTCTACAGGTGAATTGTTGTTTTGTTCTCTTCTCTTTTCACTAACGACTTTACAAGCTTATTTGAAATACTAGAGAGCTGGCAGTTCATGGTTGAACAGTACCACAAGGATTTTGTTTAAACTGAGATACTGCACACTCCCCAAAAGGTGGACTAGCCATTTCTGGGCCACGAGGTAAGTGCTTCCTCTCCTTGCTTTCTCTGGCGACTGCTGCAGCCTGTGGGACAGGGCCCCCGGGACAGCCGTGGGGGAGGGGAGCAAGCGCTGCCACGCACTTGTCTCCTCCAGGCTCCTCCCAAGGCAGTGCCCTCCCAGCAGGCACCCACCCTCCCCCAGCCCTGGGCTTGGGCCCTGGCTGCCCAGTGAACAGCTTTCCATCTGAACGCAAGTGCTTTGTTTTGTTTCTGTTTGTTTCTTACCCCACTGCTTGTTGGTTTTTGGTCCATTTCAGTAACATCCATCACCTCCTGGTGTGTGCGTGCGCGCAAGTGTGCATATGCATTTGTGCGTGTATGTGTGTGTGCGCGTGTGTGTCTGCCGTGTGTCTGTCTCTCTGTGTTGTCTCCTGATGGCCGTGAGGCTTGCTGTGCAAATGCTGCTCTCTGGCCCCTACCCCTACGCCAGCCCGGCCAGCCTCTGGCCCCTACCCTACGCCAGCCCGGCCCCTCCCTAGGCTCCTAGAGTGTGGAAGTGACTTTCAGGAACCTCTGGTTCCAACCAGGGTGTGTGAGGATAGAGAATCCTAGGTGATCCCAAAGCTCTGGGGTGGGAAGCAGCATGCAGGGGCAGGGAGTCCCAGTGAGACCTGCAGAGGGGCCAGGAAGGGGACTTTGTGAATGCTGGTGATGGAGAAAGCATGGTGAAGAGAGTAAAAGATGCTGAGAACTGGATAAAGGGAACTCTAGAGGTCGGCAAGCTGTCAGAAACAACCATCCAAATAAAATGAAAGCCCTGTTATCTTTGCTACCCATGGTGCTTGAAGTCCATGGTAAATAGAATAAAGAATTTTTCTCCTTTTTAATTTATTTACTCTGAAATAACTTTTATGTCTCTGCTATCACCACATATCTTAAATTGGGCCTCATAGGTATTGTGAAAGGTCACTGTGAAATAGTCCTGCATTTTTTTTTCTCTGGGGAAAGAAACGCCCAGTATTGATTGTCTTGTGTTCAAAGCGATGGTCACGATCAAAGTGAAGGCTTGTCTGTGATCTCTCCGAGAGAGAGTATGGACACGAATGCCGATGGAGGAGTGAATGAAGGAATGTGGGGTGCATATGCGTACGTTGGGTTAGCAGATGACCTTGTGTGATGGTGACCTGCTGATTCATGATGAAACCTCTGCTCTACCCAGACAGCTGCAGGGGGCGGGGCGGGGAAGGGGGTGGGCATCAGCTGAATCCAACTGTGGACAACTTCTCATCTTTCTTTCTCTGGTCACATCTCCTAACGGTAGCTCAGTGAACCACAGTCAAGTAGTGCATTGCTGTCTCAGGTAGAATCGGTGAGCAAAGCTCTTTCGCCCCTGGCCGATCCAGTGCGCAGACACGACAGCCCGTGGATCACAGTTCACAGGTCGTCTAGACAAAGCAAACCGCACAGTGTTGGTAAATTTGAACTGGTTCCTGGCCCACTCATTCTTGAGGGATTGCACTGTGGCCAAGTTGGGTGCAAGAGAGGGTGTGATGAAAGTGTTTCTGATGGCCCTTCCTGAAAGTGGCCTTGGGCCTGGAAGACTAGGCTGGCCGGGTTTCAGGGCGTGGTGCCCTCTGCGTGAGGACCTGCTTGCTGTTCTCAGGTTCTAGTGTGGGGGTCGGTGGAACGCGATGACTCTTCTGGAGGGGAAACATACTCCCTCCTGGATGGCTGTGCCATAATGTACACTGATTAAGTTGGCCTTGTCTTATGAGACCCTTCGGTTTTCTGTGGAAGGCGCGTGTGATGACCACCTTGATGCAGTTATACCTTTTCTGAATCCCCAAGCCTTCCCAATTAGATGGCTTCAGCGCTTGCTCTGGTGATTAGATCTAATTTTTTTGATAATTTAAAAACTGAAAACAACACATAATTGTCACATCTTATGAATGGGTTTCCCTGAGTCTTCAGGTTGAAGGTTCGTGTGATGTTAAAGCAACATTTTAAAGTCATGGGTTAAAAGACTGTTACATTGTATTACAGTAATGCTGAGGTTTTTTGTTGTGTTTTTTCCTCCTAAACATTCTTCACTTTGCTGTTTATAGTAAGAGTTTCATTTCCTAGGCGATACTCAAATATTTCCAGCTAGGTGGTGATATCAACACATTTCCCATGGTGCCGTTGGGAACTGAGGGCACAGCCTAGAAAATGAAGTTGTGTTCATAACTTTGACAGATACATTCTGAACGTGCATTTGATTCTGAAGCAGACATTAAAAGTAGAACAATTTTGTCTCCTTGAAGGATCATTCTAATTACATTTTTGGCTTCCTCTACTCTGGAAATGGCTTTAAAGGTCAATGGTCACCCTACTTTTAATTGGCTCGAGGAAGCGCATCCTTCAGGCATGATGAAATGTTGCGTGATGACGTAGCAGTTAGGGAATCGGGGTTGAGGAGCCATGGGAGAGCTGCACCAGCTGTCACCAGGATGAGGACGCAGGTCCTCAAGGAAGCACCTGCATGTGGGTGTGGCATAGTGGGGTGAATTGCTTCTCCCTGTGCCAGGGGTGCCACGTGGCTGACCGACTGCTAATGGCAAGTGGAGTGTGGGCATTACAGTGTGAGCGCAAAAGGGAAGACGTAGGCATGTGCGTGCTTGTGCGGCATCGAATGTCGTCTGTCTGAATTGCAACAGAACTGGTCCACGCTCTGGGTCCCGCTCCCCCATGGAATGGTTTTCAAGGACAAACAGGTGCACTGTGGTTTTCAACCCCATGGTTTCCATCTGGTCTCCCTGTGTTCAGACCAACTGCGGTGTCTCCTTCTCCAGGAAGGGGAGTGGCTGGAGGAGCTCCTGGATCCGTGCGTGGGTAGGAGCTCGGCACCCGGCGTCCTCTGGCCCCTGTGGTCTGAATGAGTGTGCAGTCTCCACCTGTCCCTCCATTGCCATCATTAAAGCCGGCCTTCTCTCCAGCACCTCTACTGAGGGAACCAGAGAGAAGCAGCATCAAGCCTTTTTTTCTCACTCATCCCCTTCCATGCCATACTCACTTCAGTTTGACTCCACCTTTGCTCTTCATCCATTGTTGCTGCATCTGAGTGACCTGCACATCTCCACAAGGAGCAAGTAAATAAAGGAGCAAACCTCTGCAGCCGAGAAAAGCGTGCCCCCGTCCCAGCAACTAGTAACGCCCCGTCAGACTGTCCAGGGAGGATCCTGTGCAAGAGGCAGGCAGATTTGCCCAGTATCTCATGGAAAAGGAAAAAAAAAAAAAAATCCAAAGTGGGGAAAGTTTTGTTCATTTCTTTTTCTTTCGACATCCAAGGATTTCCTTTATGCAAAAGATGCTCTGGTGGAATCTGAGGAGACACTCTCTCCCTCACCTCAGACGGGAGCCTGCCCACCGTAATAACAGGAGAGCTTGAGAGGGAGAGTCTCTTTTTTAACCTGTTGGGCTTAAGGAAGAGACCAGAGTTTCCAGCTTGTTAAGAGTTTGGTTGTCAGGTTTTATGATGTTAAAGTCTGTACCCCAAGCCAATAGAGGGGGATGTAGGAGATCAAGTGGAAAGGTGGATGGTATAGAAGAATAGAAGAAGCAAATCCGCTTCTTCCCTGATGTGCCTTGACCTGGCCTTCTGAGGGAGGCTTGGGGCACAAAGGAAAATGGGGTGGCCAACAGACTTTGAATCTGTGGAGTATCTGACACCTGTTTTCCAAGTCACCATAGTCTAAAAAGTAGCAAGATTGTTTTCTTTCGTTTTTTTTAAAGCATGATTCTACCCAACGCCATAAAAAGGCTTTTTTTTTTTTTTCTTCCTTTTTTAGTCTAAGAGGAGAACAGATGCTAACAGATGAGATTTCACTGGCTGATTCGTTTGTTTCAGATGCTTGAACGGATGCTTTAGAATTTTCTGCCTGAGCTACAGCACCAAGCTCGTTAGTCGGAAGGCGTTGGTGGCTAAGGCCTTGAAAGGGAAAAGTCTCACGTGGGCTTATTTCTACTGAAACAGCATTTCGGGAGAAATGCAGAAAAAAGCAAACCCAAGGCCCCAGGGAGACCCCTTCCAAGCAAAGCAGTCCTCCAGAAGGCGGAAGCAGGGCCGCGGCTCAGCTGCGGAGCCGTGGCCTCCTGTGGCGGACACTGCTCACGTGGCCTTCTCGCGCAAGGGGACTGCGAGGCTTCCCTTCCAAGCAGAGACTCAGAGAAAGGGCAAGAGTGAGAGAGAGCAAAGGAGGGGGCAGCCGCCCCACAGAGAAATGAAATGAACACAACTTCCTGATGCTGGCCAGTAAAAAAAAAAAATCAATCAATCAAAGATTAAGCAGACCTGCCTAAGGTGGGCAGCAGACTCGGTTCCAAAGCCCTGCACCCCTAGTTTGCCCGGACTCCCAAAGACTGGCAGGCCCCCGGGCGCTGAGCTGACAGAGTTCCTTTTGTGTGGCAGTCAGTCCTGACCTCCTGGCCACCGGCTCCCTCTGCAGTGCCCCCGTTCAGAATGCAGGGCAGGAAGCTCACACACCCATTTAAACTAACACATGCACCCGCATGCCAAAGCCAACCCACGCAGCACCTCAGGTTCCATCTTACCGTGTCCACGGGGAGCACCACCACACCCAACCCTCATCCAACATTGTCCGTCTTTAATCCGTACTCAAAGCCAGTCCGGGGATGCCTCTTTGGAAGCAGTGTGGTCTAGTTTCAAGGACACTGGGAGTCAGGGAACCTGGGTTCTAGTCCCAGCTTCAGCATTCAGTTGCTGCGTGACCTTGGGCAAGACACTTAACCTCTCTGTGCCTCAGTTTCCCCATCTGTAAAATGGGGATAATAATGTCGACCTACCTCACAGGGCTGTTGTGAGGAATAGCTACGTG